AGTTAAATTACTGTGAACAAGGAATCGAACTTATTAGATGATAATAGTAAGTCCAAAGAAAAACGGGAGCATCTCTGAGTGGTGAAACCTTCATACCCATGCCATTCTCTATCCCATTTACATTGCAGAGAAATTAGCACTCACTCTTCACTGTGCAAACGTCCATTCATATTTACAAATTCCTTTTGTAAGTTCAAAATGTTCACATATGACTCATGGACTATTTATCTGCCTTGCATTATCTCCAATCCCAACACACCTCAAGGAACAGCCTCTGTATCCCAACAATGATAGACTTGGGGCATGGATCCGGCCAGCCAGTCCATTGCTCAAGTTACCCTCCCAGATGATTCTGCTTATCCCTTCCCACTGAAGAGCTCTGTTATGGGTTCTTTAGTTCTACCCCTCCTGAACTTGACCTCTCTCCAAATAAATCTGAGTCAACAAGTGGGTAAAGGCTTCCTTCTTTAAGCTGAGATGTGCACAGAGGTCTTGGGCACAAGCCCTGCTGAGGGACCTTGTGGGACACTTAGAAGGCCTTCCAGGAGGCAGCACTCAGGAAATGTCCTTGATGCTGGTTAAGATACACATTTTGAAATGTGACAGTTGTGCTTTACTTACACAGGATGAGGAAAGGATCGAGGCTCTGCAGAACCAGCTTTTATCTCCCTGCCTAGGGCCAGTATTCTTTTAAATTATATGTCAACCTGAGTACCCTGAAACAGGTGTTGGGCACAGTGAGAATGCCCACTGATCCCATCCGCCCTGGGGGCAGGCAGGCCCAGGGCTGCAACACACCTGTTTCCAGAAAGGTCCTCCATTTCCAAACTTGACCATCCCACACCGACCTGTGTTAAAGTCTTGCGGGGAGGACTTCACAGAGCTCTATGAGCTCAAAGAGAAATTATATCTCAGCAGAAATCCACTTTCTGGGTTTGCCTGTTAGACTGTTGCCTCTAGCAGAGCTAAAAGTTAATTCTGCAAGTTTCACTTGAAGCTGGAACCTACTTGGCTGTCAGTAGTGGGTCCTAATTCTGAAGGGAGTCACCAGTGACAGAGATTAAGAACCAAGGATGTCAAATAACAAAAGCAAAGTACTGATCTATGCCGCAACACGGACGGACCTCTAAAACATTCCAGTTAAAGCAGCCTTTGACTTGGACACATGGCTCGGTTCCATTTATGAGATGCCCAGAGTGCTGAATCCATATTGAAAGTGAATCAGCATTGCCTAAAGCTCAAGGGGTGGGCGGGTGGAGGAGACTAAGGGACAATGGCAATCGTGGTTGACTTTTATTTAGTGATAAAAATAACTATAAAAATTGCAGTGATGTAAGCACTATGTTAAGAGCCACTTAACTATACTTTAGATTGGTGAATTAAATAGTATGTGAATTATATCTCAAAAAAAAAAAAAGCTTAGAGAAAAGGAACTCTTTAGCAACATATATTGTGGATGTTTTTTAGTAGGCGACTTGCCTCACAGCAGCTGTTCTCAACCTAACCTCTGGTAGGCATGCCACCAGAATTTTACAATGCATACCAGAATTGTGTAACTTAAAATAAGCAAAGTATGTCAGAAAAAGATAAACACCAGACTGTCTCATTTACATGTCGGCTATAGAGAAACATACCATGTCCCTCAGAAGTGGTAATTCTTAACTGCCAAATTGAGACAACCAGAGGGGAGGGAGGACTGGGTGGGAAGAGAGGGCAGGGGCCCAACAGAATGTGGATTATTGGGGTGTTCTTGTGGGCAGTGTGCAAACATGCATTGGTATTGTGTTGCATCGGGTAAAACCATGCTGATAAAGAGACGGGAGTCGTGGAGCAGGCTACATAATGCAGGATGCTTGCTCAAGAGCAAGATCCTGGCCTTTTCATGGACAGGATAAAGATACAGCATCAGGGATGTGGGGTAGAAAGATGGGCGATATGAAAAAATGTGTTTTGTCACCTAGGGCTCTGGGGTGACTTGAATTTACTGAATAGATAATTTTCTTACCTGCTTTATTACCAAGCGTTGTAACTGAAACCATACTACAGACCCTGGGTCATGGTTCTGATTAGTGGGTGCTTCACTAATGGGGTCCCTTGACCTATCTGGGTCCTCCACCCCCAGGGTGATCCTGGTCCTACCCCATGAAGCATACCCTTTCCTGGGTGATCAAGCTTTCTGCTCTTGGTTGATGTGAAAGGCACCATGGAAAGTTTAGCTATGATTGATTGACCCGGCAGTTCTGACCTTGTATAGGAATAGAGTTAGCAGGCCCACAGTATTGGTTTAAACTTAACAACCCTCAAAGCAATACAGTGACATAAATCTTGACCTCAATAAACATGAAAAAAAAAAAAAAAAACCTACCACCATTTTGTATTGGACCTCAAACTCATCTTCCATAACCAAACAAGTTGACAGGTTTTTAGGAACCAAAGGTCCTTCTGCTGACCTGTTACCACAGCAAGCAAGTTGCAACAAGGAGATCTACTATAAGACAGGGCTGGCCTCCTGCCCAGTACTTCAGAGCTCCAAAGCCTCCTTGGGAGTGGTTACCCCAAGGGACTCCCACACCACTCAGGAGGGCTGGTTTTCCCCTAGATTTTCATTAGGTTTTTTATTTCATACTACTTACACAACAAGAAATTTCTGAGTGTCAGTGGTATGTTCAGTAGCTCTCTGAGGAGCAGAGCAGCTAAACCTGACACCCAACTGCAGCTCACCTACACTCTTTATTTACACAGGAACAAAATTGTGTGTGTGTGTGTGTGTGTGTGTGTGTGTGTGTGTCTAGGGTACAGGATAAAAGTTGTTAGCTATTAGGTAAAGAAGTCAGGCAAAGCAAAGGCAACGATGAGAGGTTCAGGAAGATTTTGAAACAAAGATTTGATTAAGGACGAGGTAAACACATGGTTATTCTCCCATAAGAAAATGTAATTATTTTCCCAACTTAGCTCCCTAGCCATTTTGCTTTATAAAATAAAAATACTCAGTTCTCCTAAAAGTGAAGCATGGGCATAAACTTGAAGTTGCAGATGGAAGAGAAAGCAGTACTTTCACCACACCGGAGCAGAGTGGCGTCAGTGAGAGGGATCAGTGAGAGGCTGCTACCCGCTGCTTCCTTTACATGAAACCCAGCCACTGGAGGGGAGCAGGGAGGCTCCCACAACTAGCACTACTCCAGATTTTTATTCCCACTCAGTTGCCAGCTACAAAAATTTTAAGTAGGAAAAGTACTTACTTGGTGGTCTCAATATTAACCATTTTATTTTCACCTTAGAGAATAACATGTTTCTAGATGAAGCACAGAGGAGCTACTTCATTAACAGACGTAGCTGAAAGGTTGCATGGCCACCCTCTTGTCAGTGGAGGCTCCTGCACAGCGTTTGTCTGGACAAGAGGCCCACCCTGTCCAGTGGGGCTCACTCGTGCCAAGCCTACAGGGAAACCCAGTGGGCCTCAGCCAGACAACTTTACACTGACAAAGCTCAGTATTAGGAAATACTTAGTATTACGAGCCAATTTGAGAAAGGAGCACTTTATTAGACACAGACATGCTGCTATTTTACTTTTTGATCCAATTCTTTAATGATCAGCTTTACTCCATTTGGCTCAAGAACAAGTTAGATATCAAGAGCTCACAGCCGACGGCACGGCTGGGATCTCGGAACAAACATTTGAGTTTTCCTAATCCATGATGTAACCCCTTGGGCAACCCGTTTTGTGAGATGGCTGGATGTGGAAGTCACCCCAACTCTAGCTATGGGGAAGGGGTGTGGGAGGGGCAGTAGTGGGGGGAAACTGGAGGTAGAGTGCAGAAAATGTGGAAGGAAGCATTTTGAAGGGTCAGAACATATTTGAAACTCATGCCACATGTAACAGATGTGATTTTTACTTTATTTAAAGGGGTAGGAGAATAGAAGGGGGGGACAACAGTAATTTTCATAATACACAGAAAGACAAATTAGAACGGCAAAGGGGGGGGCGGCTGGAAAGGGTTGTGTACATGTCACCAGTTTGCTCTGCAGCTCTGTGATTAATAAATTTAATGCAGTTTGTCATTTGTATTACTGTTTAACAAATTCGTAATTGGCAACATTAGGATTATGAGTCACTGTAAGTGTACTAAAACTAAGATGAAACCTAAATAACCCATAAAAAATCACTTAGAAATAAACCATAAATAGGATACACATTAGTGTAACAGAACCACTTTTGTAAACATTTTCTTCAACATAACATGTGCATAAGAAAAAGTAAAAAACACTGCACTCAATAGTTACTCTAATATACAGAAAGGTATTAAAGCTTTGACTAAACCTAGAAACGTATTTGTGTTTTGTTTCATTTGAAGAATACTCCTATAAAAGTTCAATGATCTGGAGTTAATGATGTCATCATAATACTGTTTTCTTCTATAATGTTGCCATGTTGGCACTTTTATGAAATCACTACCCTGTAGAAGGGGAAGAAATCATTCTTCCGTTAAGAAGAATGAAATTTCAACAGCTCACCATCTCTTAGGGAGGAACACAACTGGGCACTTAATTCTAGCTGCAGCAACACAAAATAGGTATTAACAAGCGGTGAAGCCAAGAAGGGCAGCACATAAGCAGACCGCCAGGCAGGGCACATCCGGGGCCCCGCCCGGAGACAGAGGGGCTTTCCCACTGCAGGAAACTGAGCCCGGCAATGTTTTCAACTCAAACACTGCAAGAGGGACAGTCCCTGTCTGTGCATGCAGGACAGGCACCATGACTTGAGCTCACAGCTATCACTTCGTGAAAATCCAGTTTTTGTCATGTTCTATACTCAGTAATTCTAACAATGCCTAGCTTTTTTTTTTTTTTATATGCATAACACTCTGACTTACAGATATTGAGATTCAAGTTTGTGGATAATTAAGACCATGGTATATCATCCTTTATTTCACTGTTACGAAATCAGAAGTTTAGCATCGCCCCCCCTGGACCCCCCAAAGATGACTGCCAGCTTTTACTTGTCTCAGGAGCCGTGGAAAGTTAGTACTGATCCAGTCATCTAGTTGTTTTCTCTCGGCAGATACATGTTCGCTGTGGCACATTTTCTTACTTGCAAAGCCAGAACATGTATAGGAAATCATTAGCAGCAATTTGATTTTGACTCAAGTTCCAGGCAATGGAATCTTGCCTATCTGAAGTCTCCTTCAAAGATGGAAATGACTCTTCAGTCTTCTCTATGTTAACAAGAAATTAGCAGAAAAGAACTAGTTTTTTCTGCTTGGGCATTAGCACTACTGCGAAATCATACAAATGGGAAACCATTTCCATCACCTCGTCCTTCCAAAGAGAGTAGGGCTTTCTCAGCTTATCTTGTCTTCGTGGGTGTACAAATAGCTTTTGTTTATGCATTTATGAGTCTACTTTTCACTAGATTTTTGTGATTTAAAGGCGAGCCTTTGGCAAAAATGCTGAAACAGGAGACTGGTAGTGGTCAAAATGAATGCCAAATGAGATGAGACAGTTGAGACAGCCTTGGCAAATTAAATGTTACATTTTGGGGAGGAAAGCCCAAAATTAAAAGAAAAATTAACCCTAAGAAAGGTTCAGTCTATAAAACACCATTCTTCTATTTGGTGAACGACGCTGAAAGGATCTACCACCCAGTATTCCCACTTAGAACGCAAGAAGAAGAAAGAATGCAGAACTGAGCATTACTGTTTTACCCAAGAAGTAAATATCCTCAGAGAAACTGAGTGATCATGAAGCCAGGAAACAAATTCTTACCCAAGACATTTATTACAAATGTCATGAACATATTCATAAAGTAAAACTGGTTTAAAAAACAGAGAACAAGAGAACAAGTGAAAGGAGGAGAAAAGCTAGGGCTCTGATATTACACCTAAAACACAAGAAGATTCCACCTTATGAATTAAGCAGTATTAACTATATTTTTAAAATAGCTTTAGTGCACTGCTGTTTTAGAAAAGGGAAATATCCCACCCTCAAGAAAAGTTCCTTGCAACACTGCACAGTTTGTGTGACTATTCTAATATGACCACCTGTCTGCTACCAACCTGGAACTGAGACTAATGAGGCGCCTGCCTAGTAGGCTGCGATCACGTCAACCACCAGTGGCGATTCCCGGGAAAGCAGAGCATCCTGTCTGTGGCCTTAGAAAGCGGACTGCCTCAGTCAGCATCACGAAGCCGCATGGCTGCCTCCCCTCTTTCTCTTATGCCTACTAAGACTCGTGACAAAAGAACAAACTTCAATCTGATAGTTTTGGTATTAAGATTAAATTAAACATTAATGTTTTTCTCCAAAAACATAAACTAAACCACCTCTTAATGCATTAAAAACAATGAGGTAGGCAAAAAAATAAACGGTTGAAAAAAATTTCTTTCCTCTGCCAAGTGCAGACCTGTGGCAAAACTGCTGTCGCACTTCTAGGTTTAAACAAAAATTAAACCTTTAACTGAGGCAGTGCTAATACTGTCACACAACAAAGTTCTGGCCATTATACAAATGCACACATTTTCTTTTTTTTCTTTTTTCTTAGAACCATCTGCACATGATTTAGGCAAAATCTGGTACACAGAAATATTACTGAGTTCTTGGCAAAGCCAAAAAAAAAAAAAATTCCAAAGAAACAAAATGGGACCCCATAAATCCACCCACCCCACCTCCCAAGCCCCACCCACAAAAGTTATCCTAGTAACTGTCTTTCACATTTTATAAATATTAACTTCTTAAACCTGCACCTTCTTCTTTGTCCACATATTGTCACATTACAAAAAAAAGAAATGTCAATTAAATACATTGTTAATATTACTATATTAAATCTGCTCTCTGCTTCAGCAAACTGCTTATAAGACCCCCCACTTTACACCTCCTTGTGCCCACTTTCATTAAAACCAACAAAACAGCATGTTCATAGTTTCTACCTCAGATACCCATAAGACAGAGTCATTCAGAGACAAGGAATTCTGGAGCTTAAGGAAAGGTGTTTGCTTTCTGGTCTTGATCCCAAACACTTATAGCACCTGATGGTAGAATCTGAACAGCACCAGCTGCATTGCAGCCTTAATTTATTTTTGAGTAAGGAAAAAAGGAGGATAGGGATAAACTGCTAGGAGGGGAGCAGGAAAAAAAGGAGAAAAGGAACCCCCACGTGGTATCTGTGCACAGCTGTCCAGGACTGCACCGGTGCAGTTCTGAGCTCCAGTTGCAAGGAATTCCCAGTTCTCAGGATCTTGAAGACTCTTGGGGCCAGAATTCTCATGGCACTGCTTCTACCAGCTCAGGAGAGAAGTCCTGCCTAATGTCATGAAATAAACCTGACTGCTGCCACCAGATCGGACAGAGGCAAAAAATACCTGCAGAAGGAAAAAAGAGAAGGACAGGTGTTTATCGTGAAAACAACAAACAATAGTTTGTGGGGAGCAAGGCTTCTTCTGGTTCCTAGGCGGGTAACTAAGAGTTACCAACAGTCTCAATTATCTCCAAATTGCAGGTGGCTTAAAATCCCAAAGTCCTTTTCAAAAGTAAATCTGGGATGATGTCAATCTATCACCTATAGTCTCTTTAGAGCTACAAATTTTAGTCTGATAACACCTGATACAGTCATATTATGAGGCCCCCAAAAGAAAAAAAAAAAAAAAACCTGAAGCTTCTGAAATGGGGTTTTTTTTTTAATCTTTATTACTAAAACCTTTTAAAAGACAAATGTATTTGCAAATCTCAATGCACAGTGGGGAGGACTCCTTGGCAAATGAATCTCTCTTTTTTTAAAGATTTATTTATTTACTCATACAGAACTGGGGTACAAGCCAGAGGCGCAGGGGCAGTGGGAGGTTTCACCAGAGACAAAATGGGGAGCAGAACAGACAGATCAACACTGCTGAGGGGAGCAGCGGGCGGGCCAGGAGAGGTCTGCCACGCCATGTGGATCACCTCTGGGGCGGGGATGGAACTCACACTGAAGCAGCTGCCACCAGCTTGCAGTGCTGCTGCATCCCAACCCATTGCACCACCAAGGAGGGCCCAAATTTTTCTCTTTTTAAAAATGAAGCTAAAATAAATTATTTTATGTCATTCTATACTCAAAGTAGAATCATTTATTTTAGCTTTGTTTAGTAATAAACCTGAAAAGATATACGACTATGAGTAAGAATATTTAAGTGCCTAAAATTCAAAGAATATTCTAGGTGTAGGTATATTAAACATACTCAGGAAAAACATAAGTTGAAAAAGCCAGCAAAAACTGGATTAGGCCTGAGGCTGTATGGAATTTTGAGGTAAAAATGTAAATTACATTAGCAATTGCAGGAGAAAGCAGTTTGGTGGTGTGGCTTTTGTGCTGAGTAGGAAGGAAGACCAGCTGCCAAGGAGAACTACAGCTCTTCTTTGTTATGCAAAATTTTAGAAATTAATCTGAAGAGTCAACCTGTGGGCTAGCTGCTAGGATGCTTAATTTATTTTAACATTAAGTGGTAGTGGAAATGTTCCTGAGGGGAAAGTTTCTAAGGTACAGGGGATTGCCTCAGGGAGCCAGATTTCTACCCAGACAGACTTGACAGAGGTCCGTTCCCAAAGTAGGCCAGGATGAGTCAACATGCGTGGCTGCCTATTCCACACCAGGCCTGTTTTGAGATGGACTCTTGGGTAAGAGTCTAAAATAAATAAGACTCAGAAGCCAATTAAGTAGGCTGGCCCTGAAGAACATATGGCTATGGGCAATTTTGAAAAAGGAAGGTTTTTAACTGGGGCTTTGACACCTAGGGGCTTCAGCAGCAGCAGGGACTGCCCGTGTTTGGGAAGAATGATTACAGTGTTGGGCATTTCCTATGTGTGCAAACTACTAAGCTATTTCACAAGGCAACCTCACAAGTGGTATCGCATACACATCAGGGGAGAGGAAACTTCTACCCTGTCAAATTTGTACAGAAGGTTTTTTCTTGTTACAATCAATCCGCCTAAATTGGCAGCTTTAACCTTTCCTATGGCCATGTGAAACACAGCCTAGACAGACTTGTACTGGAGTTAAAAGAAATTTTAAAACCCAATCTGCACAGATAAATCTATCGCCTCATAGCAAAACCAAAATAAAATATACCCCAACCCCACACAAACAAGTTTCCTTAATGAGTAGGCTCACTTCAGATCTATCAGAACCCAAGGACTAAGACTTCAAACAAATTCCATGGGAAATAAATCACTGTTAAATGATAGTAGTACTAAAAAGAAGTTTTCTGTAAGGACACCATTACCTTGTCATTTCGTTCACATAAGAATTTTAGTCTTTGAGCCCTTTTGTGCATAAACACACCATCCAGGTGACCAGTTTCCACAGACCGGATCTCTATAGCCTTTTCTCCCCAGCCCATCGTCTGATTGGATCTAATATAAGCTTTTTGAGGAGAAAAACACATTTTGTTAAAGAAAGTCACAAGAAGGAAACAGCCACAAGATGCTGCTATGTAACTAACACCCACTACTCAACATTCAGTCAGCAGTCAGCATTTAAGGACTTCTGATTTTCAGGACCTTTGCCGTTGTAACCCGTTGGTATTTGAATCAATAGCTGAATCTATTAGTTTCCCTGAGGCATTTCATGTCAATCTTGAGCAATGGCCGACTGAGTTTATAGTTTAGGGCTCATATTTTCATCAAACAGCCATGAGAAAAGTAAGACAAAATGGTGAGTAGACAGGGTCAGGGACTTAACTACAATAAAACCAAAATAGGTGGGGATCAGAAACTTAAAGCTGTGACCATTTCAGTGACCAGCCTTGAGTGCGCACCAGAAGAGGCTGTGGAGGCTGTGGCTCTGCCACTTGGCAAGGGCAAATCAGTCAATAAAAACACTTTTTCCTTGTGTCTTAAGGATTAAATGAAGGATCAGAATTACTTCTAAAAGTATTAATGATTGCTTGAACTTTTGTCCTAACGTAGACCATGACTAGTCCATGGTCTCCATCTACTGCCATCTCCTCCTTAAATGGCCAAACAGACTGAACACCAGGAAACGTTAGCACTTAAGTAAATGCAGCTTTAGGAAGGCTCCACCCTAACAAACACTGCTTTTTCCGGGAGGACTACCCACCTACAGAAGTCGGCATCTCTCCCCACTGTAGAACCACGTCTTTGGTGATCCTTCCATAGGTATTGACATAAACCCCTTCATCTTCATAGCACACCAGAAGCTCCATTCCATCTGTGTTGGGGAGGATGATGATTGCATGGGGTTTGATGCTACATTGGATCTAAAGAAGAGGACAAAGCACAGGGATGAATGTTTGTGGCTATTTCTAAACCTGCAACAGTGCTCAGTAAGGCTGTCTGGGTGAACTCAATGGTTCACATCCCTGGTGATAAGTGGAGCAACAGGACAACATCTTGAGAAACTCGAGGGACTGATTCACATTTTGAGCTCCTTGAAATCTATCTGGATTGTTCCCTTTAAGAAATTATTTCCCAAGGGTTTTTGACCTGCCAGCAAATTCCCCAAATCCATCCCATGTTAGTCAAGCCAGGGCTAAGAAGCTCTCAAGAGGACTTCAGATAGCAAGGAGAGTGGATTTCCACTTGTCTCAAGCAAGGGATTATTGAAAATGACACATCATTTAAATACTTACCCCCACACCAAGGGGTAAGGAAGGAATCCCTGCTTGTATTAGTTTATTAAGCAGCGTATAGACAAAAGTCAGAACAAAACGAAGCCATTCAACCAACCATAGAGTGTGGGTTCTTTCTTACGTGTGTTGGTAGATAAATGTCATAGACTGATCCTGAATCCACATCAACAGCATGGAATCCAGCACAAGATCCATAGATCACTTTCAACCTCTGGCCTTCCTCAACAGTAAGATCCACCAGTAAAGGTTTATGTACCAATTCTCCAAATGACTATAAAGTAACCAAAAAGCAGCAGTAAAACAAAGCTGAACTTATTTCTATAGATAGAACCAGAGAAGCTAGACTTAAGCTACTCATTCAAATAATAAGCCACCCGTGGCTTATTATAACTATATGCAAAAATACTTCTGAGGTCTGTAATCTATTATGCTTTTTGTCTATTTATCAATATCTGGAAAACACTTCTTCCAGAAAGCAGGTCCCAAATCTTCCTTACAAAGCTCAAGGAAAATAATAAATTTCTGTATTATTCAATGCCTCAAATGCAGACAGTAAAGGCAGAGGAGGAGCTGTAGCACTTAAATATTGAGAGTTATAGGAGTTATACTGGAATCAAGTATTAAGTCTGTAATTTTTCCAAATTGATGCTTACCCTTGATAAAACATGTCAAAATATTTTCAAGATAACCATTCTGAAAAAAAATTATTAATTCCTTACATTATACTAAAACAGGACATGTTATATTACTATTATATTACAAATTAGAAATGTTATTTATAATATTTAATGTAGTATTTAAATTAACTTTCATAAATTTGTATCTAATACAAACTCTAGAATCATAAAAAATATTAGAAGCTCTCAATAAAGTAACTTTTTTCTATAATTTTTTAAAAACAGAATAGTACATATTTTAACTTCCTTCTTTTTCTATTCAGTGTTAATATTCTGTCACTAAGAATTTCTGAAATTTTGTTTTTACATACCCTATTAAAATTTATGTACCAACTTAAAATTCTCAATTGTTGGATACTTTATTGTTGACTTTTTATGCAAATCTATGGTTTGAGGTAGAAGGTAAAGGTCTGTTTTTTAAATGGAGGTAACAGAGGTGATATTGTCACATTTCCTTCTGTTACTATACTGACAGTGTGACTCGGAGAGCAAGGGCGAGGTTTATTACATGACAGATAGTCTCTTATAATGTTATATATTGGTATAAAACTTTCAAATGACCTGCTTCAATGGTTCAGATTTTAAAACTACTCCTAGGCTCTTGGTCATAGCATGAATAATTGATGCTATTTTTAAGTGCATTTCACATTCTTACCTTAAAGGCCATAAATTTGTGATACGGCTTAGGTGCCCACGCATAGACTTCCACAGAACTCTTCAAAGCTATCACCAGAAATTTGATTCTTTCATATTTTACTGAAAAAAAAAAAAAAAAAAACACAAACAAGAGAAGGAGCAGGTCAGTATGTAACTCTGGATACTTTTATTTAATTATTTTCTGTAATCTTTATAAATATGCCTCTCTAGGGTTCATCCAAAGCAGCAAGGGCTTCCTCAACAGTAAGATCCATCAGTAAAGGGTTATGTTCCAAATGACTACAAAGAAGTAACCAAAAAGCAGCCGTAAGACAAAGCTGAACCTATTTCTAATAGATTGAACCAGGGAAGCTAGACTAGAGAGAGATCATACCTGACAATTTTCTTTTTTCTACTTTAATGGATAAATCCACAGTTTCCATCTTATGTCATATTGTATTGGGTTCCAATACTCTGGTTAGTAATAAACAGTCCCTAGTGTTTCTCAGATCCTTAGACTGCAAGGATTCAATACTATCTAAAAGCCTCCAGGTCTCAGTATTATTTCATAAAGATGATGATGTGATTAGTCAATGAAGAGATTCCCAAACATTCTGTGTAGTTTTCACAAGTCTTGGATGTGACCTGCAGATTGAGGAACCTAGAAAGTTGCATCAAAATCTAATTACAGGGGCTTTCCCTGGTGGCACAGTGGGTCAAAGCACACCAATGAGAAGCTAAAGCCACTTCAGCATGAGATTATTCCCCTGCCCCGGAGGTGACCACATGGCGTGGCAGAATTCTCCTAACCCACCCGGTGCTCCCCTCAGCAGTGTACTTTGTCAGTCGGCCTGTTCTGCTCCCCACTCTGTCTCTGATAAAGCCTCTCACTGCCCCTGCACCTCTGGCCTGTACCCCAGTTCTGTATGAATAAATAAATCTTAAAAAAAAAAAAATTCCATATATTCTCACTGTTCAAATAAATAACTGACATTAAGATGTTAAAGGATTCTAAAATAGGCTGTTTAAAAGAATTTTCTGCAAAGATGGGAAGGTTTTATCTTTACTGCTAATATGATAGTCACTACTTACATGTGGCTATTGGGTACATGAAATGTATTAGTGCCATGAAAAACGAGATTTTAAAGTTTATTTCATGTTATTTAAAGAGAATAGCTCCCTATTCTTGATGGTAAGTCTTACTACACAGCACTGGTCTTGAGAAACTAAAAACAATTTCCTAAAACTATAAAGGTAATGAATAGTGCTACACACATGTATCTCCAGAAAATGCTTGTGATTCATTATAAGAGGGCTTAGGTTTTTTTTTTTTTTTTTAAATGAAAAGCTCAGTAAATTCTAGTATCTGCTCTAGCAGTCCCTGTAGGATAATCTATTAATGTATACTTCAGCCATTATAAGCTGTTTCCTTAAATTTAGACGACTTTAATTATACCTCAGCAAGTAAAAATAATTCACAAAGACACAACACAGAAAAGCCTAATCCCAATTTATACTAATATTACTAACTTTCCATTACCACTCTTAATCAATCCAAATATGGAAGTGACTTCTGTAGTCATTATTAACCAATGAGCTGCACGTTGTGTACAGACTGTGGAAACAAGACAAGGATAATAACTATAATAGCCCTGGGAGGAGAGGAACTGATTACAGGATGTAACTTCACAACTAAAGAAAACATATAATCAGAAATCAGCATTCAATATGTCCCTTATGTTATCAGTTTTAGGTACCTATAGGCCATATGTCACCTTCTCAACTTCCCATTTCAAATTTCTTATAATGCATCAACTCCATAAATTTAATCTGGCTAACGGCCATTTTTCACCATAATTTCCAATGTTGGTACCTGTATTTTGATTTTTTTTTAAATAATGAAATTTGGTTTTATTCTTATGAGATCTTACTTACTGAGAACCACTGCATGTGTGATTGGATGGAAAAAAAAAAAAACTGGCCAGCTAAATCATTTGTTAGCAAAAATACAGTATCCTGCACAGTACACTTAGCTCAAAATGAGAAGTTACTGGTTTTTGGATCAAATTCTCAGAGGTTCTACCAATGACTGCTAAGGATCCATAGTCTGCTAATAGGAGAATAAGCTTAGACTTCAAAGACAGAACACTGCTGGCTTTTGTTTTGCAATCTCCCCTATTTACCTTGAAGAACATCTTACAGAGAATACAGACTGGGTGAAGGGTCAGACCAATTAACTATGTGGATGAGACAGAGGGCAGAGGGAGCAGCAGGTCACACTTAGATGCCTCAGAAATAAAACACCAAAATTGAGTTCCAAGTAGCAGAAACAAGTTTATTACTAGAAGTTTCAAAGAATATGGTGATTTTAAGCGAGACAGTAACGGAACAAGTACCTTTGTGAGCCTTCTGGTACTTACCAACTTTATAGTGTACACATCCTTCCAAATCCCCCACAGTTGTCCATCCCTGCTTCTTCTCAACTTCTGGATCATTGTGAAGTATTTTATTTCTTAACCAGGATAAATAGTAGACACGTAATTTATCTTTTTTGCCTAGCAAAACATATATGTAAATATTTTACACATGTATACAAAAGCAGTTATTATCACTGATAATAATAATCAAAATAAACTTAAATAAACAGTATCATCCCCCGGGAATCATTTTGTAACCTGGCTTTACTAGAAACTCAACTGAAACTATTCAGGTAGGTTTTTGCAACCTTTATATAATTGCCACCACGTGTAAGCCTGACTTAGAAGGAGACAATTAAAAGAACTTACATAAAGTAATACAAATATCTCTAACAATAATACAACCAATAGAGCATATAAGATGCATTCATATGTATTATGTCACTTGATTCTCAAAGCCCTCTATGTGGCTATTATATTACATTTAATAGTATCTGAAGGCTTAAAGAAATCACCCAATGCAGTGACTCAAATCCAACAAAATCCAAACCATAAATTGAATATATGAGCAATTTACAGAGTTGACAAAAGAGTCACATGTGAAATACAGAACACCTATAAATCAACTAGAAAGATAAGCCAACAGAAAGATGGGGCAAGCAACTAGAACAGGCTCAACTAGAAAGATAAGCCAACAGAGAGATGGGGCAAGCAACTAGAACAGGCAAAAGACATTATTTCATAGATATATAAAAAGGTATTTTTTATATATGAATACATATTAAAAACCAAAATGGCATACAATTTCATACATTTATCAGAATGTCTACAACCAAGGAGTGTCGATGCCAAATACATAAGTAGAAATGTTCATAGCAGCATAGTTTGTAATATAACGAAGTAGGAAACACCACAAATATCTACCAACAGCAGAATGAGTAAATAAATTGTGGCATACATAGGGACAAAGAGGAAAAACAGTTGTAAGCAACAGAAAATAATGTTGAGCAAAATAAGTCACATAATCACTCACATCAACAAGCTGAAACAGAAAAACCATGTATCAACAGATGCAGAAAAAACATGCAGCAAAATCAATGCCTAATTCATGATAGAAACTCACATTAAATAGAAAGAGGGGAACTACCTCATTTTGATAAAGAACACCTACAAAAAACTTAAGAGCTAATATTGTACTTAATGTTGAGAAACTAATACTTCCCTCCCAAGATCAGGAACAAGAAAGGATGTCCTCTCTCAGCACTCTTATTAAACTTCATATGGAAGTCCTAGCTAATGCAATAAGGCAAGAAAAGGAAAATAAAAAGGTATATAGATTGGGCAAGAAGGAATAAAATCGTATTTTGTTTACAAAGGCATGAAAATTTGTTGGCAGAAAGTTCCTGAAACTATTCAGTGATTATCATAAGCTCGCAAGATGCAATGTTAATATACAAAAGTCAACCACCTTCTTATATACTTGCAAGTGTAAATTTAAAATAAATCTGAGATCATTTATATATCTAGCAAAACAGTCCTACATAAGAGCTCTATTAGGGAAATGTAAAAGTGTGAAGAAGGAAATCTAAATAACTGAAGAAAGCCAAGACTCAATATTTAAGACCTGTCAGTTCCACATAACTTGATCTATGGATTCACGCAATCACAATCAAAATCATAACAGTTTAGGTACTCTCTTGGATGATTTTACTTTTTATTTCTTCTACTTGCTTTTATATAGTAATTTTTTTTTCTTTTTACTTTCTACAATGAACATAAATCACTAATGCCTAGAAAAATACTCTTAAAAAGACACTTGCATCAAGTATTTATAGCAAAGCGTACTTTCTTTTGCATGAAAGAGTCATATGGGAGGAAGTGCACACACGCCCCACAGTGGAGAAGCTGCATACCGGAGATGTCATTTAATTATAAAGTACACCTTCCTGTGCTTTTCAAGAGTGCTCTTTGGAGGCATCACAGGTGAAGTGCGCACATGTGAGTCACATATGAAACATTCTCCTATATCATCATTATAGAATTACACAATGGCTTTATCTAATTTACCCATTACTTCACAGAGAGCGAGCTAATTGAAGCTTAGTGCCCAGAAGCATGATGTTTTCAAAAGAGTTATGCATCCTGTATTACCACACACTTACCAGATATTGTCACCAAGACATTCAGTCCTTCAAGGACATCCATTTGTTGAAATCGTCGTCTGTTGATCAGAGGATAAACTTTTCCTTGGCCACTTCTGTCCAGCAGCATCAGGCCACTCTCTGTGCCAACTAACAAATTCACCCCTATTTCAAGGACACAGAAAAGCCTAATTTTAGACTGTGTCTATGACAAACAGCATGGTTGTAAAAAAAAGAGCTAAAAACACCTAAGAGTGATTTCCTTAACTTTCCCAGAAAAGAAATGCTTAGAATAGTCAGTGGATAGAGCAGTGAAAGTAAAACATTTATTTAAATATAAAATAGAATACAAGGAGAGATACGAGCTTCAACTCCTCTATTTTCTGGATAATTGACCAGTTTACCAGTTTACAGTTCTTCTCAGATCCCTGAGTTTACCATCCCCTTGGCATTACAGATTCTACATTTTTGTCAGCCATATTAGACACCTGAACAAAGTCTGATATTATCTTCATGCTTCCTTTGCATCTCTTAATTTTCACTGGCAAACTTCTGGAATGAAATACAAATAGCTTTCTGAAATTCTTAAAAGTTTATGATTACTTCACTCTTATTATTTGGTTTAAAGTTTTCTGAAAGACCACTCTCCATCATCACCAAGAAGAGAAGTAACTGCACACAGCCCTCTGTCTCTCTATATCTTGTTAATATTGTTAACACTGTGATCTCCTGACAGGACCTGTCCTAGCTTAGACATGCACTGCCACCATCTTCCCACTCTCTCCAGCTCCGTTCAGTCTCCATCTGTGTTTTCCACAAACCTTCTCTGCTTCTTTTTCTATACACATCTCCTTTGCTGTCTATCTGTCTAAGTCATACACCTAAGTCATTAACTCTTAATTCTTTACTCACTCTCTCTACTTTTCTATCTGGTGTAACTTCTACTGAAGCTAGCTTCTCCACTTTTGCCAGGTCTATCAAAAACACTACCCTCCCCCAAATTAGCCAAACTAACTACCAGAGGTGACCTCTTTCTCTTCCCAATCCTCTTTTCTCAACCACCTTCAGAATTTGGCCACTTAAAACTAGTGGAAAGATGTTAATCAAGGCTGCTTTTAGTGAGATCTCCCTCTGCTTTCTCAAGACTGCACTTTTAAACAGTCCCAATTTTCTCGAATTACTCAAGCAGTCACACTATACCTCTAGAACCTACACATTCCTATAGGGCAGGGTCTAAAACTCTTGATCTAGCATTCAAAACTCTGCTGACCCTTAAATGATTTTTTTTTCTTCCTTTTTATTCATTCACTTATTTTGTTAACACCAGTTGCTTCCTTAGTCTATAACCTTCATTGACTACATTTTGTGACATGTAGTGCAGATCACCTTATAGTCTTAGAGGACTAAGTACATCTATAATTGCATTGAGTCCCTAACTCAGGTAATAAACTCAGTGAGACAAGGATGAAATGTTTATGCTTTCACAAAGTTATTGCTACCCTGCCAAGCTTTCTGTCTGTTCCACATTGAATAGGTAAAACACCAACGCTTGGAGGACTCTATACCACAATCCTTACGAGAAGGCTGCAAGCATGTTTTGGGAGCCCTAGGGGAAAGTAGGGAACTTGGAATTTACATGGGTACTTGCTATTAATATTGCTCAAACTCAAATTAGAATGTCAGTGACTCACAGATGTCAGGCATGCACAGACAACAGTTACAAATACACAGAAGCACTACAGATTCTAACACAACAGCATCTCTAGAGTCGTCAAAAAATGTAATTTTTTTATCAATGAAAGAATTTATCAGTATAAGAGAAATTAATGCTTAAGAAGCACCCTATTCATTTTCATATAATTTTACTTTTCTGTTGCTTAGTTTGCTGTGACTACATTACCCAATTAATGCAGAATTACTTGAACAGTACTCTGAGTGTTTCCCTGCAATTTTTTTCTACAAATTCACAATTTTAACTGTTCAAGGTGTTAGATAATTCATTTTATACAATTAATTGTTAAAAGGCAAGATATATTATAAACTGCAATAGAACTCAAAGGAATCTAGTATAGGTTATGGGAAGAAAGGCTTTATAAGGTGATTAAAAAGATCCTTCAAATTCTATGATAATTTGTGATATAAATGAAGCACCATAACAAGTGCAGACAATTCATTATCAATATAAGAATGAAAACGACCACATTTCAAAAGATGTGTTAAGATAATCCTGGCTGTTAATAAGAACATCATTTCATTAAAAAACTTAATACTATTTACTAGATTACAATGCTCACTTATAAGACAGTTTACAGAAAATTTGTTGCAAGCCTTTTCCAGAGAGGGGCACACAAACTAACCTATATAACACTAATCAGCAGCATATAAATGTGTCAGTTTTACTATTTCACAGTAATACTGTAATGGCACTGTAGTTCTTTCTTCATGGAGCTATTGCTCTCACAGCATGTGGTTTAGCTTTTAGTATGTGGGTCTTTAAGTGGCTTATTTTTAACTTCAAAGATAACTCATGATAGCTGTCACAAGCAATTTAAGGAAATCCACCGTTGTTGGGCCCCTAGTCAAGCATCTCATATACATTGATTTGCAGAAACAAATTTCAACTTCATTTCCCTGCCTCTTCTTTTAATAGTTTCACTGTGTTTAAAAAAAGGGGGGGGGGGCCTCAAGATATGCTGATTGTTCTTAGAAGTACTGAAGAATTAGGAAAAGGAACTGTTCAAAAAACAGTTTATGACACACAGAATGGGGCCCAACACTTTGCAGGATTTAGAGGGAAATAAACAAACACAAATATTCTGGATAAAAGTTAATACACCAATTCTGAAAGAACACATTTAACATCTTACACTGAATATACTATACTAATTCTGTGGATATAATCACCCCCATAAAAGTGGGTCTTTACTTCGAATGAAAATGAACTCAACTCCTATCACGGCCTCAAGTGACATTCACCAAGCCACAGCAAGGTGCCAAGACAAGATCCCCAGCTGCTTTCATTTGATTCCAGTGAACTCCCCAAATGGCCACTGTTACACCTTTACCTAGGTGTTGTTTTAAGACTGATGATCACTAAGGGCTTTGTAATACTTAGTCGTACAAGGACAGAAGTCCAGATATCAAGAAGTAAAGAGAAGGAAATTGAGTCTGCAAGGGGAAAAGAGAGAGAGAGCAAAGTCCAGAAGATGAAAAACTCTGGGTGCATTGGTGATTGAGTATGGGAACATACCTATGAAAAGGTGTGAACCTGTATCTGAGTCAACACTGTTAACTCAGTTAACTAAAATCACTGCTAACTCAGTTTAAGAAAACTAGATAAATAAAATCTTAATCTTAAAAAAAAAGGTCCAGAAGGTGAAGGAGGATGAAATTTTATCAAGGAATAGGTTTCTTCTTCAAAGACAGCAATAAGGGATATCTTGAGATTGAGAAGATAAGCTCCATCATCTTCCCAAGGAAGGAGCAGCCCAGGTAGGTAGCAAAAGTGAAGGTCCAAGGTGGGTGAGGAGAGGACTGATCCAGCCCCTGCAGGGGATACATGGCTCTCATCAACACTGAAGGAGTGAAATGCAGAGGAGGCTGTGCCTGGACTGCAGTCAGAGGACAGCATGTTTTCACCCATTTACAAGGGAGTAAGACACTTTTCTGAGAAGAAACAGGCTGCTCCTTAAAAAGTCAATTTCAGGGGCCCTCCCTGGTGGTGCAGCAGGTAAAAAGCACAGCACTAAGAAGCTAAAGCCACTTCAGCACAAGTTTGATCCCCACCCACCCCAGAGGTGACCCACATGGCGTGGCAGACCTCTCCTGACCCACCTGCTGCTCCCCTTAGCAGTGTACTTTGTCAGTCAGCCTGTTCTGCTCCCCACTCTGACTCTGGTGAATCCTCTTACTACCCCTGCACCTCTGGCCTGTACCCCAGTTCTGTATGTAAAAATAAATAAGTCTTTTTTTTTTCTTTTCAATAGTTTATTTTTCCATCATTTTGTGCATTTTTTCCATCCCAGTTGTAACCCCTTTGGGCTTCCCATCATCAAATCACCCTGTGCCATCACCAAAGTCCAGTGTACTTCCCTCTCCCCACTGTTTTTTATCTCATTCCCCACTCTACCCCCATAAAATGTCTCTGGTATATAACTGTTCATTATTATTTTCTCGCCTCGTCCACTATACTCCTGCTATGAGTGAAACCATTCATTCTTTCTGGCTTAAAAATAACTAAGTCTTGGCCCTCCCTGGTGGCACAGTGGGTTAAAGCACTGCACTGAGAAGCTAAAGCCACTTACACATGAGTTCGATTCCCGCCTGCCCCGGAGGTGACCACATGGCGTGGCAGACCTCTCCTGACCTGCCCGCTGCTCCCCTCAGCAGTGTACTTCGTCCATCTGCCTGTTCTGCTCCCCACTCTGTCTCTGGTGAAGCCTCTCACTGCCCCTGAGCCCTGTACCCCAGTTTTGTATGCACAAATGATTAAATCTTTAAAAAAAATAAATAAATAAAAATAAATAAGTCTTAAAAAAAAAAAGGTCAATTTTGGGGCCCTCCCTGGTGGCGCAGCAGTTTGAAGCACAGCATTAAGGAGCTAAAGCCACTTCAGCATGAGTTCAATCCCCGCCCCGGAGGTGACCCACGCACATGGCGCGGCAGACCTCTCCTGACCCGCCCGCTGCACCCCTCAGCAGTGTACTTCCTCAATCTGCCTGTTCTGCACCCCAGCTCTGTCTCTGGTGAATCCTCTCACCGCCCCTGCACCTCTGTATGCACAAATAAATAAATCTTTAAAAAAAAAAAGTCAATTTCAAGGTTTGGGTGTGGGGGAATGGGAAACAAAGTGTGAGGCTGGAAGACGAGGGGAGGCCGAGAGCAGCCCTGGTCTCACAGTGAGGAAGGGGTGAGAGAGCTAAGTTTTAAGCAGGTGAGATGGCAGAGTGATACACATGACAAACTCTCTAAGAACACCCTCTCATGGTGCCTGGAGTTCTGTAAGTGATACACACACCACAGCAATTCACAGATAAAGTCAGCTCAATAATTCCTTCTGCAGATAACTGGCCAGTGGCAATTTACTTATTAAAATTCTGTGTAGATGTTCCACACTTCAGATGGAAAATTAAAAGATCACAGTAGCAGCAGATACCTACCCCATAAGGCAGCACACAGAATCTCAGAGTTAAACCTCTTCTTGTACTTGCGAATCTCTGGAGTATCACTCTGTGGCCTAGTATTGGTGGGATTCACATTGACCACTGAACCCTTCCGGGTAGGGTCTTGTCTAATGGCTTCTGGTCTCATTCCATCACAGGAAAATCCCACTAAAACAAAGTACACTTGAAATTACTTTTTTACAAACAAACATTGTGCTTGCCTCCCTCCCCCTCTATAGCCACAAGTAAATATTCATGTCATAACCAACACTTTGTCGAGGAAAAGAAATTCGTAAGAAATGCATATGGAAAAGGAAACCGACTATGCAGCCCGTTGCAAATAAGGCAATACAAGCAGGATGGTGTCTGTCTCCGAGGTCTGCGCCTGCAAACAACTAGTGAGCCACCAGGGAGCAGCGTGAGAGACCCAGGCCTGATTGTCAGCTCTTTCCTTGTTGCTACTTTACTTACCCACAGAAGTCACTGTTGTCCCACTAGATGGAGAAATCTGTAGTAATCTGGGGTCTATAAAAGGTGTAAAGGAGGAGGAAGATTTGTGTTTCTGGAGTGTGCTACTAGCGGACTGAGTCTGCAATGTAAATTTCAATTGTATTAATACAAATGACATTGAAAAAATGAACATAAAACATTTCAATCCACCTCTAAACTGCACTGTATCACATTATAAAGCTCTAAGCCCTCCTGCAGCATTACCCAAAAAAACGGTCCTGAGGGGGCCTCTGCATGTGTACAATATACCCCCAATAACAGGCTATGTAACCTGAAACCCCTGAAAGAGCTGTATCACTTTTCAGAAATATTGTCCAAGAGAGGAACATTGCAAGTTATCAATAAAATATATACTTCATGCTCCAAAGTGTTTTTTTTTTTTTAAAGTAATTATAATGAAAATTTCTAGAGGAGTCTGAAGTGTTTGGACTTCAAGTCATCAGTTTTTGTATTTATTTCCCTGCCCTCCCCCCCCCAAATCTAATTAAACATCGCTGTAATAATGGCAAATGCTAATTTATTTTAAAGAAAGCCTCTTGCCAGAAAGCTATAGACACTTTGGCTCCCAGTGTTTTAAACATATTTTAAGCCTGTGTCAAACTGCGTATCATTAGTGAAATGTGCACGTGACAAAATAAGGCATATCCTTTTGCTCTTTTAGGAGTACTAGTGTTTTGGCTAATAATGTAACTTAAGACTTAAAAAAAAGAAAAAGAAAAGAAAAAGAAAATTTAAAAACCCAACAACAAAACAAAACACAAAGAAAGTGAAACGAATTGTTAAGTGGAAATGTAATGACAATTAAAAACAAAACAAACAGAAAAATAAACTTGCCAATTTAGTGAGTTAGGGGTTATTGTAAAATACTGTACATTAGCGCAAAATGGAGCAAAGTTTAAATATAAATATAAAGAAGAATGTGAGTGTAGGTGGGCTATGTCATTGGAGAAAAAAAGAACACCTCTGCGCAAGTGCTTTGCTCCTGAACTGTTGGCTCCTGCGTTCAGCGAAAAGCCACCCCCAGTGCTAGAGCTGCCACCCCCTGGGCACCCGGTCTCCTCTCCACTGACACAGCTGCCTGCCAGCAGGGTTCCCACCCTGTTCCACGGTTGGAGGTCAGACCAGTTGATGCGGAGCCTGCTGCGAACAGCTGACTTGCCCTGCTCATAGGGAGAGAGTTACTTGGATTCTTTCTAACAAGGGAACTAAATGGGAGATGGGAGGAGGGCCAGCAGCTAAGTGTTCACACTGACAAGACAGGCTGAAGCTACATGCCACTGTTCACCCCCCTCCACTGATAGACAAAAGCATTTAAACCAAACTTCCCACAAAATCGAAGTCATTGCTCATTTAAGTACAGGGTGCTTAATGTTGACTCTGTAGCTGCACTGGGGCATGACCCTGTTCCAAAGAGCAAAGACTCACCTACGAGCACCCGACTGAGCGCCACAGCCAAGCCTTCAGACAAGCACACAGGTTTCCCATTCAAAATTTTAAATTAAAATCCCACTTGACCCTAATTTCTAGGTATTCCCAAAAACCATTTGCCCTCCTCTCAAACTGAGTCATGCTGAATTTGAAGGAAAGAAATCCTTTTAGCAGAATGGACGAAAACAAAGATTAACCAAGCACCACCACCCACAAACCCCAAATGAAAACAAACAAACAAACAAAAAACTGATCCAGTCCCTTTTGAAGGAGATTCTTGTACAGGATAACAAGTTTGTCCAAATAAGGCCAAGCCTGCTTAACCAAATTTACCTGTACTTTATTTATTGGATAAAGAGAATGAAAAAGGCAGATTCCACAAATGCTTTCAGAATTTCATGCCAAATACATAATGGATCCGAGAACACAGTTATCATTTTATTTAGACTTTTAAAAAGTAAACTGAATAAAGAAAGCCATGCAACTACACTTTCTAGAGAAAAGTAAATGGTGAACTGGCAAGTTTGGAGGGAAATTGATCTCGGGTTAAGGGATTTGTATGCAGATCTGTTACTTGGGGGTTGGGGAGAAGGCTGGGTGACAGAAGAAAGAGGGTGGGTAGGGAAGGGGTGAGGGGCACTGGAAAGGTCTCCTCTGCAAGCTAGGCTACTAGGCGGTGCTGATCTAACTCTAGGAAAGCAGCCAGCTGTGGTGCGAGACATACCTCATTAGTAGTGAGCTTGTCCTGGGGTGTCTGTGGGGACATGGTGGGTGTCGGCTGGCTGGAGGATGGGGAGGAGGAGGTGGAGGAAGTGGAGGAGGAATGGCTTTGCTGTAAGAGATCTGGCAAGAGGTGAATGCGACCGGCAAAGCCATTGCTCTCATGATGGCTGGCACGCTTTTGGTCAACTGTACTCTGTAGAAAAAACAGGCATACTTGTCTTGCTCAAGCGCTGCTAAAATTGCCTATGACCCTAGAGATAACTGACTGTGTGACTTCTCAAACTCTGTTAAATTACCATGGAAAAGCATGGACAAATTAGCCTGAACTGCTTACTGAATGCCTAACCTGAGCCAACAGAATTCAATATACCTCATCTGGTGGCCCTCCAACTCCAGCAGTGAGTATTTAATCTGGTTCATCTACCACACTATTACTATCAAAGTCACTAGGCCTTTCTTCTTTCCGTTGAAAACTCTTACTATCTATTGTTCTAGAAAGCAACCTGAGGCTTCTCTGACCCCTGGTCTTTTCCATGTTCTTTCCACTTTCTATCCAAATGCATTGCCATAGATAAAACACACTCAGGGAGAAGTCCAAAATTGGCGCCCTATTCTATTTAAATAAGAAGCATATCACTTTTATTATATCTAAAATAAGAAAAAGAACAGACAGTTGCAAAACTTAATCCAAATTGAACACATCTGGGTGGTGTACATTTAATATTCAACAAGTGAAAAGCTAACATTTTGAACACAAAGAAGACCACCCGTCCCTTTCCTCCACGACACCCTCCCTGTGACTGTAATGAGGCTCATCCTCTTTAGTGGCTCCTGCCTGACTCCGATGCTTCCCCTGCAACTGTTGACTCAGAGCTTAGAGCTCTCTGCAGAATCCCCAAGGCTATCTGCTGCAGACTTGGATATGCCTCCTTGCTCTGTGAGCCTTTGAAGGACTGTGGCTTTTCTATTACTCAGACACAGACTGTGAGACTCAGCATGGTGCTTGAATGAGGGCTGCCGCAAACATGCAGAGGAGCAGCAATGTGGGGTGGAAGAACACTAGCTACCTGTTCAGCATGCAATACACACCTACCTCCCTCGCCCGGATACTCTACCCTCTGGGTTTTGTTAACATGAAAACAGATGATGATGGAGAAACAGCATGAGTGAGTGAATGAGCAAGTGGGTTAATGACTACAGGAGAAGCTCAGTCTCTAACACCAGAGAGGAGACACAGGTACCTGGCGAACGATCAGAGTGCCCTCCTTGGACGGCGTCATGGCTGGCTCACTCTCCACATCATCGTGGACAATCATTGTTTTCACAGATTCTGTTTCACCATTACTCAAATTCAGAGATGACCTATGGAAGCAAAATCCAAAGATGAGGGGTCATAATCCCCTGAGTCAAGGATATCCTACTAGATTTTCATCAGTTGTAGGTAACAGGTTTAACTCTTCTCAAGTTAAACAGAAGGTTGGCTTTTCTCCTTCTACAAAGAATTTCCCAACAGCATAGTTTATTTTGGAGCAAATGACTAAAATGAATACTTGTAGTTAATTTAAGCAGTTAAACCAAAATGAAATTTTCCTTTCATAACATGCTCTAATTAAAAAACAAAATATTGGGATGTTTGTTGTGGGGGGGAGGGGGAGCACTGACATAACTGAAGAGGGAGGGGGAAGGACTGTCCACTGCTAAGCCCACAGTAAGTGAACACTGAATGTTCATGGAATCACACAGGTTTATAAAGCACCGTGTGGCTCCAGTGGAAAGACTCCATGGGGCACTCTCACCCTCCCCAAAATACACCAAGCACTGACGCTGCTCTGGTGTCCTCCGGTCCAGAGGTGGGTTCCTCAGCCCCTTCTTGCTCCACATCATCATCCTCCTCATCTGTCGTCCCTGACTCTTCACTGGAAGAAGAGTAGTCTGTCACTTTGTGTGGCGGTCGTACATCTTCCACTGCTCGAAGCTCTTTTGCCAGTGCAGTCAAGTCCTAATGTAAGGATGGAAGAGTAAGTAAATAAAAGGGAACAAAGTGGGAGGAAAAAAGCAAAGAGCAAGAAGTACTCTGACTGACTAAAGAGCCACAATGAGAGCTGTGTAAAACATGTAAGTGAGCTTGAAAAGTTATTGACAGAAAAAGTTAAGTTTTAAAGGAAAGACTAAAAAGACCAAAATGTAGCTAACTCAAATCTTGTAATAACAACACTTATTAACGATGAGTATTTTTATTCCAACTTTGAGATAAAATTCTACATCAACAAATGTGTGTGGACAGATCTGTGGAGTATGTTACATAGACACCTGCCCCAGAAACCAAGGTCTAGTCAAATAGGTCTGATTTAAAGTGTTTATTAATGCAGTTTTTATTTTTAGTTCTTTTATTTTAAACATTTCAAAACTACAGAAAAGTGAAAGAGTGCAGTGAGTATCATTCATGTCTTGCTTCACCAATTACTCACAAATTGTCATGCTTGTCAAAAATTCCTGACATTATGCAAGAAGGTGGTAAACACGATGTGTGCTGCAGGAGACCAGGTGGGCTTCTCTGCCACCACCCTGCCCACATTTACCTGTGATACCACTAATGAATATAAACATCAGAAGGAGGAGAAATCCAATGAAAAGCTAGTACTCAAAAAAGCCCTCATTTCTGTTTACTACCCTACAGTGAGACAGTTAAAGATTCAGTTATCCAGTATAATTTTCAAGCATGATTATTATTTATGTTCTATAATTTCATATGGAAGAACAAAGTATATTCTTTTACTTGGAAATTTTATTTAACAGTCATGACTTTTAAGAAAAGTAATTTATGTAGTTACTTTTCTCTAGCAACTTAATGTTCTCCACAAAATTTTAACACTTCATAAGTATGAACATGTTTCTTATCTTTGAGCTTCAGTCTCTGAAATAACAGTGATCAAGTACTGTACCAGGTCTAATCATTTTATGATTATAGTTGTAGCTTTAAGTTCTTTCAAAAGGCTACCTTAATAATAATTTTTTTTAATTACATAGCATTTTGTGTATTAAAAAAGATGAAGCAAAAGCTTAGGTTTTTTTAATCTTAGAAAAGAAAAAAAGGCACACTGAGAAAGGAAAAGGCCATGTCGTGTAAAGGCATATGAACTGTTGCTGTGACGCCGAATGTTTCAGAGATGGGCTTACCACTTCGCCCTTCAGTCCAGCGGCAGTTTCATGGAGTCAGAAAAGCCACCAGTGAAGCGTGCAGGGCACAAAGAAGCACAGGAGAAAAAAGGGGAAAGAAAAAGTACAGAAATAAATTCAAGCGGAAAATCAAAATCCAACAGGCTTAAGAGCCCACACACAGCACATACAATCAGAGTCAGTTAAAGTGACAAGGATTAAGGGAGACATACAACGAGCAGTCACAACTGTCATACCATATACCAAAAGGCGGAGCCGAAGCAACAGGTAAGCTTGAGAAGGTAATTTTAAAAACTTTATTCTAAAAGTCAGCATTGTAAGCACCCAATGCATCAAGAATATGTAAAGGTTAATGCTAAGAAAGAGATAACATAGCTTTTCTTTTTTTTCTGTAATTTAAAAGACTAAAGCAAAAGGCTCATAAATGCGTTTCAGATTTATGACATTCCTTGTAATTTCTCCAATTTATGTGGGGACTCCACAGAAAAGATTACAGGCCTTTCAATTACGTATGTTTAATAGATCCCACTCAAACTTGAAATAAGTAACATTGATTTTGTGCAATTCTTACAGCAGGCTTGAGAGGTCTAAAAACTTCTTTTTTATCTTCAGGTTTTTTTGCTACATTTTCAAGGCGCTGAGATGGTGAACCTTCAGATTTGGAGGATGCTGTTAAGTTCAAAAGAGACAAGAGAGGCAGACACACATAAACGCATGGAAACATATTACAGAACAGACCCACCTAGCTGGCCTTTGTCTCCCCTTCTTCGCCCTCCCGCCCATGTTTGTCAGGCCCACTCATGGCCACATGCAGCTCTGTGTTCCCAGGTATGCAACACAGGCAGCTAGCGGAGCTCAGCAGCTGTGCTAACCCCTTTCTCAGACTTCTCCATCACCACCTTTACCAACTATGCGTATAATTACAATGTCTCATGTTATGTCATTAATCTAATAAAGTATATTTTAACTATGTCATGAGTACGTTATAATAACCAATACTGATGGCAGTGTACGTCCTGAAGTCTATACTCAAAGTGGGTTTATATCTCAGCTTGGCCTAATCAAGCTGACTGGATATACTACTTAATTTCACAAACTGTAGTTACTTAAGCATATGATCCACACTTGTATGTATGTATGATGATTATACATACAAGTATCATAAGGACTAAATGAGATAATGCACACGAAGTGTTGTCAGTGTTAGGTGTACATAAGCTCTCAAATGTTAACTCTTTATTATTAAAATTACAATGAGTATCATCTATAATTTATATTGAAGCACTATTTTGTGATACACACATAAAAATCACAGGTGTTTTTACATGATTATGATTAAAAAGGATTTCTATTACACTGACCACAGTCAATACCGTTATCACTAACAGAGAAAGGAAAAAAAAAAACCAGAGGCTCACATCTCACTCTGAAGCGCTCCCCAGAACCACTCTGAGACCCAGGGTGGGACCCAGGCTGGGACCCTGAGTTGCTGGACCCAGAAGAGCTGCCGCTGCCAGGCCTGGGCACCAGTTTCTCCACTCTTTCCCACAGCAATCTCGGTTCAATACTGCTGTTAGAAAAGAAGGAAACAGTTAATGTATGATCCCAAGCTGTAGCATGAAACACGTGATTATGCACTGTTTCTGATGTTTAATGATTGTGCACTGTTTCTGATGTTGCTATTAAAAAAAAAAAAGCCTAAAAATAGCACTTAAAGATTCATTCACCAAAAGCTGCAATAATATCATTTATGGATTTTTTATCTAAGATAGAACAAACCCCAAAGGCTAAATGATATCCTATCATTAGCAGAACTTCCACATCAAGTGACAGGAAGTGATACTGTTCATTCTAGAAGTGTCACTATTTCTGTTACAAACTCACCCAGTACCCAAAAAATTCCACTTACCTAATCACACTCAAATTTCTACTATTTCCATCCCTCCATTACTACTCTCAAAAATTAACCTATGAAAAGCTCCCCAACTTCAGCCCTCTTCACTTGAGAACCAGCTCCTTGCAGCTTCTGGGCTGCCTGCCAACTCACTTTAAATTACACCACGGTTCCACATGCAAGTGGCTAACTTTACAGGTTCAGTGGTGGTCTAGTACAAACCACTCAATACAATGATCTTTTCCTCCTCCAGAACAGCACTGGCCCAGGAACCAGGGCTTACTGAGATAACACAAATGTTCGTCGGCTCAGTTGTAGGGTCTGGTAGCTACAAATGGTTACTGAGCACTTGAACTCTGGCTAGCGCAGCTAAGAAAATTAAATTTTTAATTTTACTAACTTTAATTAAAATGCAATTTTTAAGTAGCTTCATCTGATTAACAGCCACTGTATGGAACGAAGCAGTTCTAGAACCTAAGAAGTACTACTTGGTTATAGACTGTGGGTCAGCTACTCTCTTGAGTAGCCTGTGATTTCTATACCACTCTTGAGGCCACAGGATGCCAAATTTACAGCTCTCTTAGAAACTCCCTTACTTTCCTGGTACTCTCTCTTCTCCACTTACTCTTACACAGATGGGTAGTTTTCTTTTCAAAATTGCCTCAAAACACAACCCACAATTAGAATTAAACTCTCTTTTCACTACAAGTCAATTTTATATTTTTCATGTTAAAGGATTTTATGGCAGTTTTCTCTTTATAATGGAGTTATAACCTCTTTGTCCCCAAATTTCCATGTTTATGGGCATTTTTCAGCACACAGATAACTTAAGACTAAGAGACTGCTGTGTACCAGTTTTTAAACTGAACTATGAGTCTCTTACCTGGTGGAATTTCTTTGACCTGCTTGACTATTTGGCTGCCCACTGCCCTGCAGTGGGGAATCCCGACGGGACAGGACAGGGGATCGAGACGTTGTTCTCACAGGAACCTTTAGGTAGAAATTTTAGCTATTACGTTATTGAAAACACAAGAAGAGTCCCTACCAAAATAAATTTTTTTGAACAGTCCTAATTCCATAAATCTCATTCATACTGACCTACTACTCCCATCATCCCTGATCTTCCTCTGCCCTCCATTAATACACTGAGAGAGAGAAAATTTAGTCAAGGCACCAAAGGAGCCAGGACAAACAGTTCTGCAGTGCTTCTGAAACACTAAAATGATTTTTAGACTGAAGCTTGGTGGCAAGGGACATACAAAGCATTTTGCTGAGATAACATAAGAATCAGAAAAATAAGCTCAAAGAAACCAAACAATGGCCTACAAATGGATCAGCAAGAAACAAAGACTGATAAGAGCAAGAAAATATTCAGAGGAAGCAAATATTCCAAGTGGAGGGAAATTAACTAAAATGTGCCTTTTTGTTAATTTCACCATTAATAAAAACAAAATTCTTCAATTTGAGAAGAAGAAAGATATCTTTTGAAATTTTCTGCTAATTTTTAATTGTTTCCCTTAGAAAATAGTTTCTGAAAATTTTGATACTGGTTGATATTATAAAATAACATGTAGTTTCTCTAGAAACTTATAAGACAACTGCTAAAATAAAATTCGATTCAGTTTCTTCTCAAAGTATATTCTTTATAAATTTATTCTTATTTTGTTATCTCATTAAGTATAGTGTTAACAACAACAATAAAAAAGCTAACTGGGCATTGGCTAGGCATATTATCTCCCCACTTTTAAATAAAAGTTCTTTTAGATGTCACTGTCCCTTAATTCTGGTGAAGTCATCATACCCTTAATTAAAATAAAATAATAATAATAATAATAAAAAGGAAAAAGAAGCACACATCTGTCTTTCTGCTTCTTACCCTTGGAGGCACCTCTTCACTGTCTGATCTAGACCAAGCCTTTTGGGTGGGGTCAGGGACCTCCGACTTAGAGTCAGAACTCTGACTTAGCACCTCACTGCGGGAAGGTGGACATGGGTCCTGAGAGCGAAGATGGTGGTGTGCAAATTTGGGAGGAGAAGGGTCACTGAAGGAATGGGATCGCGAGACAGGGGAAACATTGTTCTTGAGAGATGCCAGGTGGGACCACTGTACCTTACAAGAAAACAAAACACAAAACATTCAATGCGTTCTGCATAAAACGCTTTTCTGGTCAATACCAAATCCAAAGCAAGAACTGGGAGGAATGCAAACTTGGGCACAATAAAGTAATAGGTAAGCAAAGCAGTACAACAGTCATACTTATAAGTGAAGAAGTGGTCTGGGGAACACAACTTGTGGAAAAGAACAAAAGTATATTTATAAGTAAAACTTTTAATATCCAAGCAGAAATGACAAGACAGCAGTAAATATAACAATTTAAAAGAAGGAGGAAAAAAAAAAGAGCTTCATAAACCTGTCCTACAAGGGGGACATGCCAGAAGCACATGCACATCAGAGTAGACAGATTTCAGCAGCAGAGAAAATAGAACATTACAAGACAGACATTGTCAATACGTGCAGTCCTATCTCTCCATTCTCGTGTTACCCAGTAGTGCAGAATTTGAGACCCACATAACAAAACAGCACATTTAATGAGCAAAGACAAACCCCTAATGTTTTGACATACTGTAACAGTAGTACTTAAAAACAGCTAACTTGCCAAACACATCAATTTTCCTTCTTTCTCCCTAGTTTTAAAATGTTCAAAGAATACCGCCAGTCTTTATACTAGTCATGAAAAAAAAATGTAAAACTGTGATTTCTTTAGAAATATTCACTACCATGCTTCCTTAAACTGACTGTTATTGGGTTATTCCTTCTACTATACAATAGGAGAACTATGACAATTATTTGTTAATTGAGTTTATCTGGTTGATTTTAAATTGGGAAAGCAACCTCTACAATAATCTCTGTTTTTATTTTTTACCTGTACAAATAACTGTTCAATATGACGATTTACATAATTCCAGCTATATATTTACTATATCACACATTTAATGGAAACTGGAAATGCCAAATAACAAATGAGTCATCAATGTTTCCAAATTCAGGATTAGGAATTAACTACAAATCTGTGATTTCTAGTTGAGAGTCATATAATTCCAGTTAATATCTTAGACCTCTAAAATTTCAGGAAAATGGTTTATATTTAAAAGCAGTATCAGTAACTATGATCAAGAATAGATTTTGAAAGTCCCGCTTATTTTCATAGGCACGTGTTTTTAAAGGAGTATGTTACAATCAAAAGCAGTTTTAGACGGAAGAAAATGGGGACTGTTTCAAGGTTTTATATTCATCCATCTTTAGTATAAAGACTAGCTTGCATAATTTATGGATGCTTATTTCCTAGCTGTTAGTTGCCAATAAATAGCTCTTTAACTTATGGTTAAATTTAATTTTTGAGAATAAAAACCTGAATCCTGGACTTCTCAAAAGTGTCATCAAACCTATTCCAATGACAGTTATTCCCCACCTGCTCCTGCTTCTTTTACCCTGCCCTGTGTTCTTTTTATTTCCCATCCCCTCTCTGGAGCTGCTAGTTGGCTTACCAGCCTGTTCTTGCAAATCAAAAAGTTGTCAATACCTTGTAAACATCCCACCCAACTCCACACACATTCTTTGCAAATACCACCACATCTATTGCAAGAAAATGACTTTTTCTCATGCAAACATCAGTGACAAGGAAATTCAGACATAAAAACATGTTTCAAAAATCTGGATTATGCAGTTACAAGGAGGAAACTGTCCAAAAGTCAATTATTTTCAGCAATAGGGTGGGAATCAGTGTTGGGGATCCCTAATATCTATGATGTGGGTAATCTCTACCGGCTATTTCCTCTCCCAACAGCAAAGGTGGTACTTTTACAACCACCTGTGTCTTACCCAAGGGAAGTTTGTGACCTTTACCTGTTCTAGTTCAGGGACATCCACACCTAGTCCATGGTACCGTAACCTGTTCTTAGGGCTTGAATCTTTTGAGAATATGAAAAAAGGCTCCTTCACCCCAGAAAATAAAATACAGATTTGAATAAATCAAAAAGATTCGACATGGGGCCCTCCCTGGTGGCGCAGCGGGTTAAAGCACAGCTCTGAGAATCTAAAGCCGCTTCCGCATGAGTTCGATTCCCGCCTGCCCCAGAGGTGACCACATGGCGTGGCAGACCTCTCCTGACCAGCCCGCTGCTCCCCTCAGCAGTGTACTTCGTCGATCTGCCTGTTCTGCACCCCACTCTGTCTCTGGTGAAGCCTCTCACCACCCCTGAGCCTCTGGCCTGTACCCCAGTTCTGTATGCACAAATAAATAAATCTTAAAAAAAAAAAAAAAAAAAAAAAAGATTCGACATGGAATCTCTGGGCAGTGATTAACTGTCTACAGTGCACTCACAGGAGTGGCTAGGAGTCAAGGATTACAGGCTAAGGTAGGTTTTGTGCTCCATGCTTATACTAGTGTTTTCCAAAGACCAAACTGAAAAACCTTTAATTGGAGTAAAGAGGCACTTCATGAACATCAAAGTTATGAAAGGCAAAAAGTAAGACTAAAAGAAGAAATCACTAAATTTAAATATTTTTGGTAAGTAAAACAAGAATCTTTTCATTTTAAAAAAGGTCCTTTTAGCTATCAGGTGAGGGCACATCCCTCTTTAAGCTGGTTTATCGTCATCCCTGCTAACCCCTTCTTTCTAGTGTGGTAGAAGGAGAACTTTGTGAGTAACAGGGTCACAGGCCCTGGCCCAGTGCGAGTCCTCAACCCTCGGGTGCTGCTACCTGTGGCTCCGTTGGTCTCTGCAGGGCAGGGTGCACAGACTCGGAGTTGCCATTGGAAAAAGATTCTGATCTGGAAGGCACTGGTGGCTCCAATACTCTGCCTGTCTGCTTAGACTGGGCTTCAGGGGAGCTGTGGTTAGTTTTCCTAAATCTATCTTCCACCTGCATCAGAGAATTAGAAGACATAACTCAGTGTTAGTAGGGGAAAAGCAGAGACACTCAAGAAAGCCTGAAAATGGAAGGTAAATGGAGTTTCTGCTTTCTTCTACCTCAAGAACAAGAGAAGAACAGTTTTAAAAGGCAGGAGGCAAGTAAAACAGGTCCAGGATTTGATTCAGGATAAAGAAACACTAATAAACACAGCCTTTAAAATCTCCCACTGGCCAAAATTCTAGGAAAATACATGATGATAAAACTGTGGGGGGGGGGGATCTGCTATAACCAACTAGGCCAACATATTAAAAGACTATCACCAAGACTCCAAAGCACATTTATTTCACTACATCAAAAACAAAGGCATACTAGAATAAATAGAACACATGTCCCCAGATTCTCCTTTGAGGGGCAGACATGGTGGAAGGTTGCCACCTACAGGCCAGGACTTGCATCCTCTGAAAGAGACCAGCTCACCATTTTCCTAGTACCTCTGAATGAATGAGCAAATGCCTTCCCATGTCCTGGCTGTCAGGGTCTGGCCCAAATGCACCAAATTCACTAACTCATCACAATATGTTTATAAACCAGTAACTGAACTAAAGTACACTGCATTTTCATTGCAGTTTTGAAAAAATTCTTAACGAGGCATTAACACTCCTCACTAACATTTTAAAGAAAAAGTATAATCTTGCTTCATATTTAGTTTAGTTTTCAGTTGATTTAAGACTTGTTAACTGAGATACCCAACTCTGGTTCTCTATGGAAAAAACATTCATTAGGTAACACTGCTTCTCTGAACCCCAGTTTCTATCTATGAAAACAAGAAGGTGGATCATCAGTTTATGACTGTACCCCCTCCAAGTATTACTATTATACAGTTCCTAAGAGTCATTCTACTACTTTCCAGGGAATAATCAACCTAGGATAAGTGTCTAAGCAACAAGGGCAGAAGATACCTCACGGGCTCGGTCAGCAGGCTCATAGTGGGGCTTGGGCTCTGGAGCATGATAGCTTGCCTTGCTCCTCTCCTGCTGCGGGGGCTGCTGCTGCTGCGGGTGCGGCCTCCTATGGTCGTGCTGTAGAGACAGGAGATATGCTTGTTCTTGTTGCAACTGCCTCTGGAGCCTCTCTGCCTGCCGGTGCTCCTCCATCTCCCGCCATCGGCACTCCTTGGAGAGGGAGAGGAGAACACTGAATCTATGGGACACTGGAGAGGCTTGCCTCCTCTCTGGATTCAGTCCCAACTTTTTTTTTTTTTTTTTTTAAAGACAATACTACCCTCCCCTCCTCCCCCATAACAAAACAAAATGATTGGGATTTTAAATAACATATTACCTGTGGAAAAAATCTGACAGTTTGTTGCTAACCATAATATCACTGGACAGAATAAAAGAGAATTAAATTCAGTGTCAGTTTTTGGTGGTTTCAAATGATACTTAGACTTGGTAAAAATCCTATGGCATGTGCCTTGAACCCTGAGCCATGAGCATTCTAGTTTGTTCACTGAATGCACAGTCTACTCAAAACTTTTCCTCTATCTACCAAATAAGAACAATTAACTTGTTACTGGGAAATAAAGTCTTCTCTTGATGTGCCCAAAGCAGCATGACAACAGAGGATGTCTCCATCTGAGCTGATCGGCCCAGACACTAAGCAAAATGGTCTGGTGATCGCCAAAGCAATGCCCACCTCAGGGGAGGGAAAAACCAGCCCTGGCTCCACAGAACAAGACAGACAGGGGCGTTACCAGTAACATGGCTTGCTCCTGGAGCAGCTGCTGCTGGAGGATTTCCAAGTGCCGCTGCTCCTCTTCTAGCTGTCGCCTGATATACTCCTGTCACACAGAAATTACCCAGCGATCAATTTATCCAAAAGGAAAGCATCAGAACCAGCTGAATGGAGCACCAAGAACCATTTGCCCAATTAGTTTTAGTACTAATTCATGTAGTAGGGTGAATATCTTTAAAAAAAAAAAAAAAATTTTTTTTGCTAAGGATTTTCCTAAGAACTTCAAATTGGTCACGAAGATCTAAAGAATCTAACATAACATATGATGACATGTACTCCAAGATACATAAAGGCATTCTGAAGTTTTATTCTGAAGACAGAACAGACATTCTGTCATTACAAGACAACTGTCCTACACAAGCTTGGGATTTTAAAGGACCATTATATTAAGTAGATTCAGAAAAATCATACTTTTAATAGAAGCAAGAGATTCCCACTAATAAATGTCTGTTTGTTAATCACAAACTACCAATTTTTAAAACTCTATACCAAAACCTGTTCAACACTGAAGTAAAACAAGATTTGTGTTTTCTATGTTGACACAGAAGGTGCCTAGATAACGACATCCTGACAGCCACATTCTGGGATCACCAGACTCAGACGCAGGCAGTACGAGCTAAGGGGGAGGGGAAGGGGGAGAGGGAGAGAGAGAGAGAGAGAGTTTACATGAAGAGACGACGTGGGCAGAGTGGAAATGGGTAGAATGACTTGGTTTTCAACTGAAAGAGAACGACAAACTTCTATAACGACACCCTGTTTCAGGCAAACTTATCTAAAATATATCAAAAAGGGTAAAAATCCATCTGTGAATTGACTGTATAGTGCAATGGAATAGGAAATCAAAAGATCTTCATCTATGACTTTTACAGCAAACACTCAACCTCCCACTTTGTTTTCTCAATTGAGAAATAAGTTATCAAGAATCTTTCAGAATTTTTTGTGAAGCTCAAAGGAGATAGATAACAACTTTCAAAAGTATAATCATTGTACAATGAAAACACATTTTCTTGCTCCTTCAGTAGGGAAGAAAGTTTGTTCTAGCAGGGGAGTAAGTTAAGGGGCCAAGGAGAAATTTTTTCTGAAATTCAAATTATTTCTTTACAGAGTCTATTGCTGGCCATCCAATTGTATCATAGCACATAACTTAAAAAAATAATAATCACACACCTGGGTTAAACAGAAGTTTTAGTTAGCCAATAAATTTGGTTGAGAGAATGTTGGCTAAAAGAAGTCATGACAGAAGAGATTTAAGATTTCTTTAGAAATCTTTACAAAGCAGATTTAGCCCCCATACTCCCAAAAGCCAACCTGAAAGTGTCTCCACAAGGCCACTAGTGGGCAAAGGTGTCTTAGTTCCTACCTGGGCACCAAGTCCCATTTAGTTAAGCTTAAGCCTCCAGGACACGTGCTGTTGCCAAGAGCCGCCCCAGCACAGTGTGAGGCTTCCTTAGCAACCAGCAGGCAGGGAATCTGACATCCTACCTCATCTCTTCTTTGAACCAGACCAGCAAATTTACATCCTGTCCAAGTCACAAAGATTCCTTGCAGTCAATGAACACACACAGTACAATTACACATGTACACAACATGTGAACTTATGCAAAGATGAAAGGTTTCCAAAAGCTGTTAACATGGGCAAGAATTATTTTGCAACAGAATAAAGAAAGTAGAATAAAAGTGATTTTGGACATTAATTTTTTTCTTTTTTTAAAGAAAACATGAAGTATACTTGCTATACATGAAAATTGATTATAGCCATCAGAACATTAAAGATTAAGTATTACTTTCAGACCTTCTCACAATCAAATTGTAAGAACTACCTAGACTTAATTTTTTAAAGCTTCTTGTTTTCTCCTCTTTGTTATTACCACATATAAATTAGAATGCTAAGAAAACAATACATCACAGTTAACTAGCAAACAATGTCAGTAAGTTAACAGATAAGAGGATCACTTAAGTACCGAGGAAAAACTGGTAAGCATATCGCCCCAAACCTCAGAAAACCTGAGACATGTGATTAGTATCAAGGATAGTAGTTGAATAATCAACTCTGAAAGTTAATACCATTGTTTATATGTATCTTAAATAAAAATACAAAGTATTGTTTATGTTGATTCCCATTTATATCTTTTTTTCCCCCTTTATTCAAAGCTCTTAACAGAGTATAATCAATTAGGCATGAAAGGCAGAGAGGCTGGTGCAGGGATTCATTCTGACAACATAGACAATAAAAAGCTTAGTCAATTTTTGTTTGCACAAGTAGTTCAGGAAACAAAGAAGTTTCTAATGAAAACTATCTGGCATTAATCAGATGCTAAAAAAACAACAAAAACCTGACCTTTTTTTTTGGGGGGGGGCAGAGAATGTTATTAGCTTCCCTAATGCTACATACATATACAGAATTGTAGTATTCTATACATGCAAATACATATGTATTACAATATTCAGTCAGTCACTGTATACTTCAAATATTTCTGTAAGAAATATCTTACAGAAAAAAAAAATTATCATACACTTATTTGGAATTTGAAGCATTTAGCTAAAACCAAGAACATATTCAAGTATCTTTTAAGATACCAAACTATTTGGAGCCCACCTGGCTGCTTTCAGTAAGTTTCTGAAGTGTGAACATTTATACATCTTCTTTGAAGACTAGAAACAACTTTGATATGCTCCTAATCTAAAACTTTTAAGTCCTAAATACGTGAGTGTGCACATTCGTATTTTTTGCTCCCAATTCTATAAAGTGACAAACCTGACAAACCCATGCTTGATACATGCTTTATGAACTGACCTGTTCTCTTTCAACTCTCCGCTTTTCTTCTTCTGCTCTTCTTCTCTCCTCATCCTCTTTACGCCGCCTCTCCAATTCCTCTAGACGCCTCTTCTCTTCTTGTTCTCTCCTTCGCTGCTCACGTTCCTGCTGCCTTCTAGCTTCACGCTCTCTCCTTTGTTGCTACACAAGTAAGGGTATATGATCAGCAGGGGTCTTCTAACCATGGCTCTGAAGACAGTTTGCAGAACAGTTATGGGGAGATGGGCAAAAGAGGGAGTCCACTGACCACATCTCTATAGGGCAATTATTTTCACACTGTCCGCTGGCTCATAGACACGGACTTCCTCATAAATATTTATTGAAGGTGTTCTGTTTCTATGAATCCTTAGATGGTATGTTTTCACTCTGGTAGCATTTATTCCACATTGTTCACAACAATTAGGGGGCAGGGAATTATCCCTAACAAAGTTACTGAGGGACCCTTAAATTAGAAGAAAAAGAATCAAGGGCAATAGTAATAAGGAAAAGGAAGGGAAAAACAATTAAAAAGACAAGTACACATCAAAAATAAAGGAACTGATATAAATGAGAATAAAAAATGCCATCACGGTTACTATGACTATTTTAAAAAGCTATTAAACACATGCTTTCTCTGTATCTGACATGGTGCTAAACATTTGATACTCTTTATTCCATTTCCCTTACTTATCATTAAGAGACTGGCCCAGTGTGCCCCAGCTAGCAAGTCCAGCTAGAAGAGTCACTATGCCTCTTAAGCCTGTCCTATTAACTAGACACCATGGCAGCCCTATCAACAGGTACAAAAGTGAACAGAAGAGAAACGGTGTCAAATCACCAATCACTGAGACACTCCTGAATGAATCCAGACTATTTTACCAGCCGCTACATATACAACAATGTTCTACACAAGCACTCAACTAGCTTCCTGTCATCCCTGCCAGTCAGACAAAAGGAAAACAAGAAAGTCAACAGGTGTCTACATCCTTAAAATTACCCATTACCTCCAGAGAATTCAGGTTCCAAGACAATCAGGTTAACCTGAACAGATAAGAAGAGGTAAAGAATCTTATAGACTATAAATTATAAATGCACTAAATTTTATAATGTTCACATAATCAAGTAGCCAAGATATGGGAAAGAGTTCTTAGAGAAGTTTTAACGAGCAACATGGCATGGAGATCAAGAAAGAGAATGCAACTTGATGGAGAGGGAGTTCTGTCCCTTGATTTGTCAAAACAGAGCTGTATATGGTAGGGATGGGGAGGAGGGAGTCTATATCCGAAATCATCATGGCATGGAGTTTGCAACAGATTTTTTTTTTACAACTTGCTGATTTCAAAGCCCTCTTGAAATTGCTCCATCCCCCTCCACTCTCTGTCCTCCAACCATCCAGTCAACTGCTACTTCTGAAAGCCTTCCTGACACCACACAGTCTTACTGGGTATCCTATTAAGACCTATTTTCCCACCACAACAGATATTTTTTAAAAGTGGAATGTAATAATAATGATAATGATAATAATAATCTGAAATGGAAAAAAAAATTTCAAAGCTCTCAAGCAATGAGTAGCTCCTTTTCGTTTGGGATGCCGTCCTCCCTGCCCACAGTCTTGGGGAGAGCGTTTTGTTACAGGCAGGTTAAAAGATTAGTAGGAGGGAAGTGAAGAACTGAGAGGGTACATCAGCAGTCTATAAAAGTGAGCAAGACAATCCATTAGAGTATGGGGGTGGGGGCGACAAAAACTTTACTTACATTTAAGGTTCACTCTTTTAAGGTAGGCAGTTTTTGCATATTTTATAGGGTACACAATCCGTAAGAGATACATCTCTATCAGATGTATATGCTCTTATTTTTTACCAATAGAATGTGAATCAAAAACCCTTAGGGCCGGCCCTCCCTGGTGGCGCAGCGGGTTAAAGCACTGCACTAAGAAGCTTAAGCCACTTCCGCATGAGTTCAATCCCCGCCTGCCCCGGAGGTGACCACATGGCGCGGCAGACCTCTCCTGACCCGCCCGCTGCTCCCCTCAGCAGTGTACTTCGTCGATCTGCCTGTTCTGCTCCCCACTCTGTCTGGTGAATCCTCTCACCCTCCGCATCTCTGGCCTGTACCCCAGTTCTGTACAAATAAATAAATAAATCTTTAAAAAAAAAAAAAAAAACCCTTAGGGCCACTCCAAACAATGCCACATGACCTGTCATCAACAAAGACTCCTCCAGAAAGAGCCGGATGAAAAACAAGCTTCAGGTAGAATGCCGGATACTGAAGACTGCCATGTTTAAGTCTGGAAAAACAACGAGGCTGCCAACAGATGGGAGCCTAGACGCAGTCTAGCATCCAGTGCAAACCAGCCTCAGGATTCAAATTTCCACTTATCCACAAAAAACAAAAAAGGGAAGCTGGCTGTAGAGGAAAAACAGAGTTGGGGAGTTGAACCAGTAAGAGGGCTGCATTTCCACAGGCAGCCCTTACATCTACAACATCTGCTGTCCAGTCCACCTCGTCTACTGAAGTCAGGCATGAGTCAGCCCAGCCCCAAGATCCACTTCTCTCGCCTCTCCTGGAGAGCATCTAGCCTCAGAGCATGACAAGACTCTGGCACACATTCTTCAGTCACATGGGTTTTTGACTCCAAGTGAGAGCACTTATCTGCATGAAATGGGAAACTCCAAAATGGTGGATGGTGTCGAATTCATTTCCTTGGTTATTTCTACTAAGGGCAGGATTCACCAACAAGAAGAAAATCTGGATTAACTTCATTTAACTAAATGTTACTAGCATGTTTTAAATACTCTCACAAATAGTTTTTTTCCTACTTATTTTAAAAATTTTAATCAAAGTAGTTAAGTACTTTACAAAATCAAAACTAATACAATGTTTATATCAAAAGCAAGCTGGCCACTTCTCCTTCCCAATTCTTACTCCCAAAGTAGAACCACTTTTAATGCTTTTTAGCTTCCCCCACAGTATTTACATCCTTATTTTAGTCATTTAAGAGCAACATGTATATATTTTTCATTTTAGACACTACCTATTGACTTATCCCAAAGGATATTCATTGTACCGTATCAACCTAAACTCCCAATTAGTCATATGATGATTTCCAATTAAATAAAAACCACCTTAAGGCTGACCCAAATACATATAACTTTGATTTTTGAAGAGCTATTGGCTTAATTTTTTTTTATTTTATTGGTTTTTGATGGATCTATCACAAAATCATTTGTAAAGTCTCTTGCACTGCCATAAAAATCCCCTTCCATATGGCAAGATGAAACCAGATATTTTTTCTTAAGAGGATTAACCCTTTCTCACAGCTCTCTTTATTAAGCAAGTCCTAGTTGAGAGAAGAATTGATTGATCATGCTGAAGGCAAAGGAAAAGAACACTGTAGTTATCAATTTCTCTTCCACATTATGCTCTAGTATTTGGATTACAAATTGAACAAAAGAAACTACCACTCTAAAAAACAAACAAACAAACAAAAAAAAAACACTACAGTCAGAATGGAACCTTGACTGGATGAGGGGTGAGAGTGATAGTTAAAAGTAAATATATCACAACAGAGGATTAATGCAAAAAAGCTAGTTTCTGTAACAGAAAATCGCAAAATTGGAACATAGATCCCATCAAGCACCAATTGAGTAACATCAACCCATACTGAACCAACCCACGCCAATGATTTCAAATAACAAAAGTTTCAGGATTCCCGTGAACATCCCTTTTCAGGTTTACCCCACTATGGATGATGAACATGATATAATTCTTTGAATATTCTGCACACTGAGATCAATTTCTTAAAATAATTTTCTTTAAAAACAAAAGAAACTGAAAATGTGCAAGGTGCTATCATTTACAAATCACTTATGAAATAAGAGATTTCCTTATTACTTAAAATTTTCTAAGTAAGCCAGAGTAAATATGTACTTTTCCAACTATGTTTTAATTATACTTAAGTTCCCTTTCAAGCTCGGTACTTAAAAGTATTGCTTTTACCTCAATTCAAAAAAATATTTTAAAACAGGTCATACTGATAATGAGGTCCTCTTAAATGTACTTCAGTGGACTTGCCAGCTTTAGAGAAGCTGACTGTAATAAATCACTCTATTCTTCAGATTCAATTCTTCCCAGGACATTTTGAGGTCATGTTACTCAACACATACCATACATAATACCACCTCTGAGTTTTTAAATATAAGATCTAGTGAAGCTTCAGTAGAAAATCTATTTGCTTTTCTCCCAAAGACAACTCTTTTCCATCTTTAGGCGACAAATAACTAAGTTTACTCTTCACATAATTTAACTGTAAATACAATCAAACACTAAACTTGACTGCCAAAAGAACCTTTAAGCACTTATGAGTTATAAGAAATAAGATAACTACACCCTCTGCAAAAGAATAGAGCTGGTGACCTGACAAAAAGTGAGCCCTGGGCGATGGGGCACCTGGTTGCCGCCGCCCCTCTGTGATTGCCACAGATACTGGAGCTGGACCTATGGAACAGGGGGCAGTCCTCTAATGCGGATTCCTGGTGTCAGTCACTAAAATGTGTTACACAAAAGCTCTGTGGGCTTTATGGGGTCAAGAACTAGGTCCTACTTTTTTTAAATGCATGGAAACACTGCTGGGGGTGAAGGAGTTCATTCATGTACCATCCTTCTAAGATCTCATATCCAAGAAGTACACTACAAATACATGGCACAGATTATTATTTTTCTTAGAAATGTTCACATTTCTTAGTGTTCTATCCTAATCCCATTTAACATGGAAAACTTTGCTGTACTCACTCCTTGTTTCTTAAGTTTTTCCATTTCCACCCTTTTAAAATGTCACAGAAATTTTGCAATTTGTAGAAATGATAGAAATGAACATAAGGGTGTATCCTTTTTGTGGAAGAAAAAACAAAAACAAGAAACTGCTGCCACACACTCTAGTATTTATGATATCTCTCTTGAAAGAAGCAGGTTCCCCCAAATCAAAAAATGACACTGAGACTCAAGGGCTAAAGACTTCTAAAGATCATAAAGAAAGTAATTCTTTGGGAAAACAACTATCCTATGAGCAGTGTCTAAATACAGAAAAGGAGAGTCAAATAACAGAAAAAGGGACTCTGCCTCCTATCAGAGGATGTTCTTGAGTGGACTTAAATGACCAGCATATACTGTCTATAAAGCACATGTCTGTGCAACAATTACACTGTGGCAACAGTTATTTGTTGCCTTAAAGATGGGCAACAGTTATCTTTGGGTAAAGCAAATGGTTTCTCTACGGTAACATAATGGTCAGACTACAAAGAGAGAAGGAAATGGAGAGGCTTTTTGTTTTGTTTTTTTTTAAAGAAAAGAATGAATTCTAACCTCAAATGAAAAACATGACTTTGATGCTGTATTGGAAAGATCCTTTGTGCAGGTGCCCCCAAAAGAAAAGTGCATTGTTACTGTTATGGCACCATAGCTTTTGCTAAAAAGAAATCATCCTTTCCCCCTGAAATTTACTATAATGTAGCATACCAAACTACAGATAAATGTATGTTCTTTTTACCTCCTGACAGTCTCTATGAAGTCAAAATGAGGAAGGTCAGAGCAAGAGATAAGAAACTTAGCTCAAAAAGTAACCAGTTTAAAACCATCGAAAGTATACCAACTTAGTATTTTTACTTACATTACTGATTGAATTTTCTATAGAACAGTACCTTAATATTTTTATTAAACTTAGACAAGAAAACATGCTAACCTAATATGTAAATGCCATAGAAGTAAGGCACAATAAGTCAGTAGGTAAAATTCAAGATTCAATGAAAAAAAGAGCACAAAATTATTATTATAAAATAACAACACGGTGAATTAAGTCTTCACTTTTGCTCTAAAAAAAATAATAATAAGATGAGCCTATCAACAATTCTTTGGGGGAAAAAATGAGCTGAAGTTCTATTTAGCCAAAAGTGTGATGATGCATCTAAACATGGGAGGTTAAAATAGTGATATTAAAACTATTTGATAGACATCATTTCCTGAGCAGGTGAAATCAAAAGGTTAATTGAATTAAGTGCAAAGTTCTCATTTACAAAAATCCCTAATTCTCTAGGCCCTGTTTAGCCAATAAAACAAAATGATTTGGGGGGTATAAGTAATATACAGGTACCACATTGTTTCAGTAACTATTTTTTTTTTACACTGAGGTATCACTGGTTTATAGAACTATATATGATTTAGGAGTGTACATTTACCCCTTTGCAGACGTATGTTACCACACCACACTCATAACCAAAGCACCAATAATCCTCCACCCTAGTCCATTAGGCCCATGCCTCCCCTTTGCTCTCCCCACTCACACCCCCCAACTTCTAGCAGCTTCAAATATGCAGTCAGCTCCCAAGGTTTAAAAAACAAGATTTGAAAACTTTAGTTTCTCCTTTCAGCCACCTCTGGCATTCACTCTACTCCCCCCACCCCTCCCTTCCTTCCATGTGCAAAGGCTAGGTAATAGGTACTTATTTCACTTATTTTACCTATTTGAAAGCAGTTTCATGGCCATGTTACAAATGAATTCTCACTGACCTGGTCCCTGGTAAGCATTAAACCACAAAACTAACCTGTATCATGTGCTTCACAAAGTTTAGCCCAATAAGGTAAGAAAGGAAATGGTCAATACTACATAGGGCAAAACTAGAAACAGTCAGATCCTAAACCCATTGTCATATTAAGAACTCCAAGTGGTCAGCATGGACTTGACGGGACTTTCTGAACCCAGTCAGGGTTTCTTCTGTGTGCAAAGAACACTGAGAATAGTGTCAACAAAAACCTTATTTTCCAAATGTTTGCAAGTAAACTGCAAAAATAATTACATAAATGATGACACTGTTCATGCTATAGAGGAAGGACATGCTCCGTGTTTTTTTCCACCAGCCCTTGCTGGACCTTTTCAGTCTCTTTAATTACACAGGCAGTGACCTCCTAAAAAGGGCAAGTTATGGCACTTTTAATTCAGCCTACAAACACACCAAAACAAAACAGAGTCTTTCCTCACAACAATTACTTTTAAACAACTTGGGTCACTGCCTGAGTTGTGATCCAAAGTCCACACTATGGTACCAACACAGGGATTTGTTGCTATTTGGGTTCTTTTCCAAGTGCGAAAGATAAAGGTGAAACAGTAAAAGAAAAATGCTTAAAGTTCCCTTAAGAAGTTACTGGAAAGATCAAGCTAGGGGGAAGTATTGCTGGCTACTGATGCAAATAAAGAGAAAACCAACCAGGACATCTATTTTTCCTACCTCTTCTAGCCGCCGCCTCTGTTCTTTTTGCTGCTCAATGCGCTTCTGTCTTTCTGCCAGCAGCTGCCTTTTATATTCCTCCTGCTCCCGGAGCTGTTGTTCCTGCAGTAGCTGTTGTCTCCGAAGAGCCTCAGAACGTTCCTTGTTCTCCTGCTGCAGTCTCAAGAAATCCCGACGAAGAGTGGATTCACCAGGCACATTGACAATGGAACTAAAGGAGAAAGTAGGACTTTCAGGGTGCACATCAATCAAATGAGATAGCAGCTCCAGTATTCTATGTTCACTCTCTTACCCAAATCCTCCCACTCTGGGCTCCAACTAATAATCCAGGGGAGATTACATCTATAAATCATTGCTATATATTCTTTAATCCATTTCATAGATATTTTAAAACTCTGTCCTATATGTTTAACAAGTCTTCCCTACTTAGGATTCTCACATCAACTCAGAACTCCACAAAATGAAAAGCTGAAATCACCTTTCACTCCACTAGCCGCTCCTTAAGTACCTTATTTCTTATTAGTAAAAGAAACATCATGTTCCAGGTCTAATTTTCAGTACTTAGCTTTCTTTCATCTTCTTCATCTGGTTCACCAAATTTTACACTGTATCCCCATCCCATATATATATTTTATTTGTAGGGCCAGCAAACAGTCTGAGTGAGCTGAATGAATTAGCATTGCACATGTAAATTAAATGCCACCAATCCCACCTGCTCACCCATAAAGAGTCACTTTTCTACTCTCAAACACTTGAAATAATTAGCAAATAAATGTTAAATTGTCTTGTCTACTACAGCAAACTTCTATCAAAAACCAGTATCACTACAAATGGAATCAATTCAAATTCTTAAATGAATTCACACCTTCTCCTATGTTAAGGAGATAATATGAAGCGTCTTCAATAACTTCATTTTTTGTTTTAAATACTCTGAACCTAGAGGGTCACCTGTAGGTTTCTCAACACACTTTTCCATCCTCCAACTAGCCAGTCAGGTGTAGCTACAGCATGAATGATGGTGGTAAGACCATTATTAAAACATTTAACCCTGACTAGTTACTAAGAGGTGCATGCTACCAATTTCTGAACCTTCCACTTCAGTATAACTGGGGAAGCCAGAATAAACCAAAATAAGGCCACAAAGAAGACCAGGACAGAATATATCCTAACAGAGGAAAAGAAGTGCTGACACCATTACTTTCAGAAGAACAAAACAAACAAAAATGTTCTGGGAAATTTTAGCTTCAGTAGAGGCTTTACTGGCGTCCAAGGAACAATTCTTTGTGTGCAGAACTGTTTAGTACATCACAAGACACATCCCACCATACCTCCTAGAGCAACAAATTCTAGTGTCAAGATCTCCCTCCCTGGGCCCTGACACATGTCCAATGACTGAGGGAAAGGAAGCAATGCAATTATGATGAAGAACTACCGCCAAAAAGAGAAAAAAAAAATGTTTCCAGGAGTTTTTCAAAGAACAGAAAAAAATGGTACATATGAAGGTACTTTCAAAGTAACTTAAGATCCCTTCAAATATATAGGCTTCTTAGCATCATCATGAAATTTAATCTGTTCAGAAGGCAAGCTGAACATTACCTTGGCTCTCCCTCCTGTTCAGGCACTTCCTCCTCCTCCTCCTCACTTCCACTATACTCATATTCAGTTTCATCTATAAACAAAAAGACAAGATAAACGGGACAGTTCATTAATCATGATACATGTGTGGACAAGCACCTTCAAGAGTATTATAGCAGAAAATAAATGCTTTTGTGTGTGTAGAAATAACATCTATGAAGAGCTTATGGGGAGGAGAAATGTGACACCTCACTAACCAGGGTGAACAGGGTGATGATGTCTGGACTAGCCTGACAGCTCGAGCAGGAGCAGAGTCTGCTTCATTCAAGACCAGCCCTTACGGGACACACTGTTCAGGGAGTGGGGCAGTGCTGTGAGCAGCCCTAAGCCCTTAACAAAGTATCAGCATATTCAGAAAGTCTGTTTTGATACCAAAATTTGAAAAATATGTAACTGCCCAAACTATGGCAGCTGAAAAAAACAAAACCATTTAGTTATTCTGAGCATCTCTCTCTCTCTCTCTCTCTCTCTCTCTCTCTCTCTCTCTCTCTATCTATCTATCTATCTATCTATATATATATATATCATATCATATCATATCATATCATTTATCACACTAGTTCTTTACTATGCTAGGCACCCAAACTATTGACGCCAGATGTATCCAGGAAAACGCCAAACTAAATAATCTTGGGATCCTTTAAACAGGTATTCTATAATGTTTAAAATTTTGTGCTATGAATTATTAATTATGAATGAGAGGCTGAGGTGAATCCAAAGAGAAAAAGAGGCCATTTGAGTGTAAAGTAAGAAATGAAGGTCAAGTATCCACTATCTCCATGTGCAAAATGTGGATGACAAGGAAGACACAGGATTCTCCAGGTTAAATACTATATACTACATGGGAATCTTCAGAAAATACATAGTAAACACCAGCTGTACTGCACATCTTACATGACAGGTAGCCAATTATTAAGAAAGTGATAGGAAAATGATCCAATTTACAAATATTTTGTTTAAAAGTCACTTTGTTTTCAAAAAAAAAGTCACGTTTTCAATTAAGAGTTCATTCTGTTGCAATTATATTGCTTAATATAAAAAATTAATTACTCTGGTGACTGAATAAAGGAGAGGAAAGAAAAGTTACTATGAATATCAATGATGATTTTGCTCTTAGCATCAAAGCTGTGTTAAGACTCCACTGAGCTTGTGTAAAGCAGTTCAACGCAGGCTCCAAAAAGACCTACTCTCTTTCTTTCTTCTTTATCTTTGAAATTTAACTGTTGGGAAAAAAAAATTACTAATGGGCACCAGTTATCCAAATGCTGTTCTACAAAGTCAGTGTACAAAATCACAAATCAAAAGACCAATATAAGTGAGAAGCATCAGAGAAAAGGCTTCAGTGGAGATGGTGATAAACCTGAATTGCACCACTATGACAGAAGGAAACAAGGCATTCCAGGCAGGTGGACACAGAACGTGCAAAGATGTAAGGCAAAATGTGGGGAACAGAAAGAAATATCAGGTAATCCTATGAAAACTAGGTCATGTTGTGCAGTAATGAAAGTATTCAGGTCATGCAGGAGGCGCAAGTCTAACTACACTGCCAGTCACAGAAGCAAAGCAGCAGTAAGAAACACCGAGTTTTCTGGAATAGAAGAGTAAGGCAAGGGAGACACTGATGATGATGTGTGCAGATGATGTTCAATCACCCCTGAGTGACATACTACAGAGCAAGAGGTCCATGATAAAACAGAGGCAGAGCAGCAAAGATGCACTCCTGGGGACAAACAAGAGATGCAGAAGGACCCATCAAGGTGCCCTAACTGGCAACATGCCCCACAGCTCTAGTCAGTTCTCCCCAGGGCCAGGCTGAATGCTAGGCCCACCACAGACCTGCAGAGCAGAGACACACCATGCAAGCACTGTGGGAAAGGGACAACATAGTCTAGCTAGTGACTAGTTAGTTTAAAATACTACTAAGTATTTTTTTAAAGAAGAAAATAAAAACAGGTTTAATACCTTTCTCTCCTCTCTTCTTCCTGGTCCGGTCTATATGGTCCTTCAGTTGGATTCTAACTTGCCTTTCATTTGGCTGATCCCTTATAAAAGGATGTTTCAAAAGCTGCTCTGTGGAGGGCCGCTGCATGTAATTCTTCACCAGGCACCCTTCTATAAAACTAAAAAATTTCTTTGACCTGTAAGAGGAAATAAAAAAAGTTCATCAAATTCCTACCACAAAGAGCAAAGTTCCAAAAATATCAGTAACTTATAAATAAGCCTGAAAACAAAGATTTAAAATTCACTCTGAACATTGTGCAAATGCATATAAATAATTTAAGGAACATAAAAGGAGCTTGGTTCTACTGCGGATCAGAAGCATCACTTAAAAAGACAGCTCAATATTTAAAACACATCACTGACAACATACCACAGAGGTATGTTGATAATCTAAAAGGAAATCAGATTTAATGAGTTGGATTTAAGTTTAGTGTTGCTTATTAACCATTTAATCATAGGGGTGGAGAAGGCAAGGAAGCAGGGAGACAGACATAGGAGTCTGGAACATGGAAAACGAGGACACATGTAGAGATAAGAAAATGAGCCAAGTCAAGTGACCAAATGCTCAGGGCCCTTAATCTGTGAAATGCCATTATCATTGAGCTTCACAGTGATTTACTTTTTCATTCTGTAGATTAATAAAAGAAGTATAAGTTACAGTTTCGAGGTCAATGACCGTTACTGACATTTACCCTACCACGTACTTATCTGCCAATTTTTCCATGCCTGGCTCAAGAACACCCACCCTCAGTCTTGGAAGAGACCTTCTTAGCCATCATTATCTTCAAAGGCTCAGTCAAGAATCAACTGTCTTATAAGCACTTCCTGCCTTACCCCACACACCCCAAGTTAGGAGCATTTTTTTTTCTGTAGTTATTCATGCATTACAGATTGTATACTTCAAGTTTCTGTCTCCTCTACTAGTTTGAATTGATACTGGTAAGGAACTGATTCTTATTTTTCAAGTTGTTAACGATGTCCAACACGAATATGGTAGGCCATAATAGGTACGAAATAAATTTTTGTTGAATGAATGATGTATTGTCTTTAAAAATGTGACTTAGAGAGTTAACACAATGCTTTACAATTCACTACTTTTAGAAATCACTTCACTGACTTGTATTGCCATTCAAACTTTGCTTTCAATTGAACAAATATTTATTATCAATGATTTATATTTGTTCATGCTAGGCTCTGTTAGGAAATAAAGTGGAAGGAATTTATGTTTGCACAATAGCAGATGTACAAACAACTTAGAGAGGAAGAAAAAAATACAAGAAAAACCATTACAGTGGGTGAAACATTTAGAAAAAGTAGAATATTTGCTATTCCAAAGATGGAAGAAGACATCATTTCATAGAGAGAGGAGCAACAATAAACACAGGCACTAAAATCCTAAGTTGTTTTCTAAAAAGGAAGGAAAAATGAGTCAGGGGTAGAGAAGGATCTTTAAAGTCTCTCAAAGAAGTTTTTACTTAATTCTACCAATGTGGACTTTCTATAGTGGTAGTTGCAAAGCTCAACTACAGAGATTTCCAAAGTCCAACTGCCAACAAGGATCATTTCAGCAGTTTATTAAGAATAAAAGCACCTGGGTCATTCCTCAGCTCTAACATACCAGAACTTTGATGCTGGAACACAAATTAAAATATTCCAAAGGGTCATTATTAATGTACCATGTCTACAGATAGACATTTGGGAATCAATGATCTTAGGCATTTGGGAATCAATGATCTACAGTACATTCTTTAAAATCAACTACCAAGTTCTGCTGGACTAGAGTATAGTGATCTTTAGAAAAGCACTGACCTAAAAAGCAGAAATTTCTATTTGGTGGACAGGAATAATGCAATCACAAAGGAAGAAGGACTTCATGTCTTTAATTGTCTTACCCCTTTAGGATACTTGGGTAAAATGAGAACAATGATGTAAATTAATGAAAATACATTTAATTAACTTAGTTAGAAAAAGTTTGGTGTAAGAACAGAGGATTTGTCATCCTTCATCTCTCTTTAATGTCACTGTATTATACACATAGTGGCTAACCCAAAACTACAAGTGATGGACAGAGTGGCACCAGTTGACAAGATCTGTAAATTGTGAGATACCCTGAAAATAAAACATTTGTTAAGCTACCCTTCTCTTACAGACTCCCTTCAATAAAATCTAACAATGGAAAAGGGGAAACGAATGTTAGCATGAGCTGGATGGTGTTACCCCAGCCCCATAGATTACTCTTTAGTGATGTCCACTGTCTGTATTTGATTTCCCTAGGATGGGTCTCTCATGGATGCCCGCAGTTAATTATGTTTTAATAAAGGAGACCAACTGGAGCTACAATCTTTGAATTACACAGTCTGATATACTTTATACAGTATGAAAAGAAAAAGGCAATTCAATGGACTATGACAGGGGATTATTTAAGTTTTGTTGGTGGGCATGGTTAACAAACATAGTTAAGAGTTGTGAACTTCACCCCTAAATCACATAGTGTTGTAAACTAATGCTGCCTCAAATTTGAAAATGACAAAAAAAAAAAAAAAGAGAGAGAGAGAGAATGATGAAAATCTACCATCTAACCAAATTGAAGGAGTAGGAATGATGACAAAATATGATGGGGAGAGGGACAGGGAGGAAGAAGGTAAAATATGAAAGAAATGAGTGAAGTATGTGTGTGCATATTATTAAGAATTCAGAAATGGGAAAAGAAACTCCAGAAGGTGAGACCTAAGAAGAAAATAAGAGTAACACAGCTGGAAGACCAACTCTAGAACAGAGGGCTTAAATTAAAGACCTCTGAATTAAAAGTATACAAACCTAACTGGAAAATTATTTAAAAGCGTTTCAGAAAGGAAAAAAAAAAAGGCAGGTAGAGAAGTGGGAGCACCCTCATGCCTGCAGAGCTTGAGTGCACAGAAGAGCTACAGGGAAGAACTCAAAAAAGTTCAAAGCGGAACAAGTCAACAAAACTTTCAGGCAAGAAACAAGTCTACTCCCTTAAAAACTTTATAACTAAATGTAACCATCATTTTTATTTTTCCACGCTGTTAAAAATTCTTAGTTTTCATCAGTGAAGATTATGATCATTTTCCTCCACAGATAACAATTTTTGCTTAGCAAATGTAAGAGAGCTGCACAGAGAAAGAAAGGTAGCAGCCAAAAGAGAGAAGGCCATTTCTTTAACATGTTTTTTCTGGTATGAAAAGGGATTCATCCAACATCAGTGCTTGATAATCATTATAGCAAATGCCTCCAATGATTTTAAAATCATAATTCATCAGAGGAACTGCAAGTCCACAAGATTTTGCATTGATTAATTAATTTATTTTTTTTAAAGATTTATTTATTTGTGCATACAGAACTGGGGTACAGGCCAGAGGCTCAGGGGCGGTGAGAGGCTTCACCAGAGACAGAGCGGG